GCGAGGTCGACGAGGCGAGGGCGTACTTCTTGCGCGCCGTCGAGCTGGATCCCGAAGGCGCCCTCGACGAGCGCATAGGCGGCGGGCCGGAAAAGTTTCTCTGGCTCGCGCAGCTCAGCGAGGAGGGAGGGCAGGATAGCGTCAACTGGTTCGACAAAGGCGCGCAGTCGCTACGGGGCCAGATCCAGGCGCTCGTGGACGTCGGCGACGAGAAGCGCAGCGCCGAGCAGGGGACGGCGCTCGAGGAGAAGAAGCAGAAGCTGGGCGGGACGCTGTGCGCCGTGGCCGAGGTGTACATGACGGACCTGTCGTGGGAGGCGGATGCGGAGCAGAGGTGCGAGGCGCTCGTCACCGAGGCAGGGCTGGTCGCGCCCGACTCGGCCGAGACGTGGCAGACGGTGGCCAACGTGCGGATATCGCAGGAGAAGATTGACGAGGCCAGGGCAGCGCTGACGAGGAGTCTGGAGCTGTGGGTCGACTTGCCGCCGCTGGATCCCAATGTGCCGGCGTTCCCTACGCGCATCAGCCTGGTGCGGCTGCTACTCGAGGTGGAGATGGAGCAGGAGGCGATCGAGGTTCTCGAGAGGCTTGTCGGCGATGATGACCAGAGTGTCGAGGCGTGGTATCTCGGCGGCTGGGCTCTGTTTATTGCCGGCGAGAAGGTCAAGGCCAAGGGCGAGGCGGCCAAGCTGGGCGAGGACGAGGAGGACTGGAAGGTTACGTGGGACACGGCCCGGCGGTGGTTGATGCGCTGCTTGAAGCTGTACGAGGCTCAGGAGTACGAGGACGAGAGGCTGGGCGAGCACGCCAAGGAGCTGTTTGCCTCTATCAATAAGGAGCTCGGCGAGCCCCCGGCTGGCGCAGAGGATGAGGAGTATGACGATGGCTGGGAAGATGCCGGCAGTGATGATGGCGAGGCGATGGAAGAGTAAATGGCGGCATGGCATGGTTTGGCACCTTCATATAAGACAACAACGTTGATGACAAACGTTATGAACACTTGGGATTTTTCTTCATCGACTGGGCACTTGGGAGTTTGGAGTTTGGTACTTGGAAAAGTTGTCAAAAGTCATGAGTCCCTCTTTCTCCGCAAGAGGGGTCGTTCATCGAGGCATGTATAGATGAGGTTCGAGAGCCACAACCGCAACCATTTTCTTCTTCGATTGCCCCTTTCCAAAAAAAAAAACGCCGAGTGAATGCACTGAATTTGTTTTTCCCCTTCATGACGGGTGCTATACCGCCTCAACCTTGAGCTTCTCGACACCCTCCGCCAGGCCCCCTTCTTCCTCGTCATCAAAGTCAGCCTTGCCAGCGAGGCCACGCTCCCATAGTTGTCTGCCCGTCAGCTTGACCGGTTCCTTGACCTTGGCCTTCTTCAACTCGGCGAGGCGCTCCTCCTCTTCCTTCTCCTTCAACTCCTTCATCTCCTTGATGAAATCGTCGCGCCACTTGAGGAACGTCTCGGGCGTCACGGGTGTTCCGTGGAACTTCTTGTTCTCCTCGCGCTCGGCGGCAGCGGCCCGCTCTTCCTTCTCCTTCTCCTTCTCTTGCTTGCGCTCCTCGACGAGCATCTCTGCTGCCTCCTTCAGCGCCGATACGAGAGAGAATACCATAGCCATGCCTAGGTTCTCCTGAATCGTCTCCTCGAGACCTTGGAGGAGCCGCTCCTTGTCCTCCGCCACGCTGAACCACTCGTAGGGCGCGGCATCACGCACGGATTGCAGGTCGAGGGTGGGTGGCTCGTCGGGGTATGCGTCTGGGTATCGGACCTGGAGGAACATTGTTGGCGGGTCCTCCTCTTCGCCGGGGATGTCTAGGGCGATTTGTATTCTGAACTCTGTCTCTGAGATATCTGTGATCCGGGGTTTAGTGGATGGGCTGGCTCAAGGTGGCATGGTGGGGTAATCGTACCGGTGATCTCATCTGGGAAGATGGATTCGAGCACCTCACGCTCCTCGACTTGTTCCTCGCGCCCCATTCTGAGTGTCTATATCTTCTAGGCGCGTTCTGGGAGCTTGGGGCAATGCGCTGGTTGCTGGTTTGTTACTACAAGACGCCGTTGAAGATGTAGCTGGCGGCTCAAAGATGGCCGTTGATGGCAGAGAGGTACGTACATGCACAGTGGTGGGGTGGTGAATTGAATCCAGCTTAGCGTGATTCTGACCGCCCGGCAATTCAAATAAAAATTTCAGAAATTCCCTAAGCAATTGCGACCGCTGTAAGTTCCCACCCGTGCGGTCCAGTCACTCTGCTTTCTTTGTACGCCGAGAAAACGTTCACACTTTGCGATCGATATTCCGGCTGTCCACCACAACCACAACAGCCAGCCAATTCCACACAATGGCTTCCACCGGCGTCAAGAGAAAGAGTGCCCCTGCCGCTGGTAAGGGTGCTGCCGACGGCAAATTCAACAAGAAGGCCAAGGTCGAGTCGAAGAAGAAGGCCCAACCCGTCGAGAGCCCCGAGGAAGACGATGAGGGAAGTTTCGAGGATGACTCTGAGGACTCGGACGACGGCGGTGTCCAGCTCACCCCTCGCGATCGTGCCCAACAGGCTCAGGCCAAGGGCAAGAAGGATGGCGCCAATGGCGCCGACAAGAACAAGAACTTTGAGAGAGGTAAGGGACCTAGGCGATGCATTGCCTGACTGGCGCAAGCTTGCGATTGTGCTGACTGTGGGATTTACAACAGGCCAAAACTCGAGAGAGTCCCATGCCATCCAGAAGAAGCTCGCCCTGGAGCGCAAGATGGCCAAGCCCCTCGCCGACGAACTCGCCCGAACCAAGAAGATCTGGGAGAGGTTGCGGAGGAAGTCCCACGTTCCGTCCGAGGAGCGGAAGCAGCTAGTCGACGAGCTCTTCACCATCATCACCGGCCGCGTCAAGGAATTCGTTCTCAAGCACGACGCCACGCGCGCTGTCCAGACCGCCCTCAAGTACGCCACGGCCACCCAACGGAAACAAATCACCCGCGAGCTGCAGGGCACCTATACCCAGCTTGCCGAGAGTCGGTATGCCAAGTTCCTCATCGCCAAGATGGTGGTGCAGGCCGACGGCGAGATCAAGGATCTCATCATTCCCGAGTTTTACGGCAAGGTGCGGAAGTTGATCAACCACCCCGAGGCTTCATGGATCTTGGACGACATCTACAGACAAATCGCGACGAAGGAGCAGAAGGCTATCCTTCTGAGAGAATGGTACGGACCCGAGTTTGCCCTCCTCGAGCGCAGCAAGGACGAGAAGCCGACTTCCGACCTCGCGACTATCCTCGAGCAGAACCCCAGCAAAAAGGCCTACATCCTTAAGAGTCTCAATGATATGATCAACTCGCTGGTTCAGAAGAAGATGACCGGTTTCACGATGCTTCACGACGCCATGCTGCAGTACTTCCTCAATGTCGAGCCCGGCACGGAAAACTTCAATCTGTTTGTTGAAATGATCAAGGACGACGAGGAGGGTGATTTGCTGAAGAACATGGCCTTCACCCGCTCTGGATCCCGTTTGGTCGCTCTGCTTCTGGCCCACGGTTCCTCCAAGGACCGCAGAAACTTGCTCAAGGCATACAAGGACAACTTCGTGCTGATGTCGGGTGACCCCAACGCTCACATTGTGATCCTCACCGCTTTCGATGTCATTGACGACACGAAGATGTCATCAAAGGCCATCTTCCCCGAGCTGATTGGCGACGACAAGGAGAAGGCGACAGACAACATCGTTGTTTCTATATCAAATCCCTTTGCGAAGGCCACACTTCTGTATCTGCTGGAGGGCCAGACCCGCGCTCTCTTCTCCGATAACATGAGCGACGACCTTGCGATTCTCAAGGAGGTTCATGCAATTCGCCAGACCACTAGTAAGAAGGACGCCGAAATAAGAAGGAAAGAGTTGATTGCTGTTATGTCACCTGCACTCATCACTGCCGTTGTCGAGGCTGCACCGGTTTTGGTCGCAGACCCCTTTGGTTGCCAGCTGGTTGCGGATGTGCTGCTCTCTGCGGAGGGTGACAAAACGGCAGCTCTTGAGGCCGTAGCAGCGGTCGCTGAGGGCGACCCCAGCGCGGAGCCCATGGAGGTGGAAGGTGTCCCTACCCCTGTCCATGTCTCGCGGACAGCATTTGGAGGCCGGTTGATCAAGACGCTTATTGCAGGAGGCAAGTTCAACAAGGAGACCGGCAAGGTCGAGCCCGTTGAGCCGCCATTGAAGTTCGCCGATATTCTGTACCCGATCATCAAGGACTACATTGTGGACTGGGCCACGGGCCCAAGTTCCTTTGTCGTTCTCAACATGTTGGAAGCCGAGGACTTTAGCCATGCTGCTGAGCTGAAGAAGACGCTCAAGAAGCACAAGAAAGACCTGCAGAAGGCCGCCACTGAAGAGACGGCCGAGCAGAAGGAGGCCAAGGAGGCCAGGGCCCAGAAGGATAGCGAGAAGGGCGAGAAGGGCGCAAAGAAGGGCAAGAAGGGTGCCAAGAAGGCAGACAAGCCCGTGGGCAACCTTGGCAGCAAGCTTCTGTTGGAGAAGTTGTAAGCGATACCGTATAAAACGTAACCGGACTGGCGAGCAAAGAGTTCTTCCCAATGTTTTGAAATACCCACACAGGCGTGGCAGTCTGACTACCTGGTGTGTCGATGGCGTGCAATAGGTTTAGCTGGTGTGGTGGCATTAATAGATGGAGTTGGTTTGGCTGGTTTATGATTCAAAGCTTTTGAGCGTTGCCCACCCATCGAGCGGTGACACGATTTCTCCATTGCAACCGTCCTTGATTGAGATCTAGCCGCGCATCTGAGCCTTTCCCGTCGGCTAGGGGCCACCCGTTTATGTCGGCCACTGTCTCGGACCGTGACGCGGTGGCAGAAGCAACGGGTCTGATGCATTTGGCATTTGGGCTTGTGCGACGTTGCTGTTCCGTTTCCGTCGTCTGGTGATTCTGGCCCTTGCGTCTTTTCGCGAGAGGCGACATTCAACCCCGACCTAGCGAAGCACTCATCCGCGAGCAAACACCAACGCAGTCGTTCCCCGAACGCGGCGGGCAGAGCCATGAAAGACTCACGGGCCAGAATCGTTCTGTAGTACAAGATGGCGTTTATTTAACGTCTCTGTCTGAGACGTGGACAACTCAGATTTCCGTGTAAGTGCAAGTCGGGGACTGTAGTGCTGCCTTGGCGGGATCGTCAGTCCGAATTTGAATGCCTTCAAGCACTGCATGAAAAGGGTCAACATTCACCGGGTCACCCGAGCACGTATGCCAGTGTGGTAAAAGAGGAAGGTACGTTGCAGGCAGGTTGGTAGCTACCTCATGGTAGGCAAGGTAAGGCAGGCACGAGGTGAGGCCGGTCACACAACCGTCCCTTCCTTCCTTCCATCCCAAGTGACAGACCGCCAACCACCCACTGCCCGTTGAAAGTTGGCAGTGCGACATTTCTCCCCTTCGCTGATTCACTTTGGAGGAATTCCGTTTTGTTACCTACTCCAAAGTTTCTCAACGTCGCTCATTTATCACACCTCCATTTTGCCTCATCCTTCGCCATTACCATCACCATCGTCATCGCAACCACTGTTTCGATGGTGGCACACAACTCATCGACCCATTGACTGTGTCAAAGATATTCTTTGCTTATCACGATACCGGTTGATTTGTTCGAGGAGGAAAATAGTCAACCGCCATCATGGGCGGCTTCATTCCCGCGAGAGCGGCGAAGGTGTGCCCGATCGGTTCAGACCACTACACCTGCTCTGGCTTCGAGGGTTGCTGCGAGGTGAACCCTTGTGAGACTACCAGATGCCCAGACGAGTACAACCCTTACTTGACTGCGACTGAGCTTCAGGCCCAGAAGACCATTGCATCTGTCGCCGCGCCGGTCTTGGTCTCTCCCACCTCATCCTCGTCGAAGGCGTCCTCCACTACCACTGACAAGAAGGTCCAGGCTTCGACCTCCTCTGACAATCCGACTACCACCTTCAGCTCGCCCGAGCCGACTGCAACCGGAGGTATTTGGCTCACTGACGATCGTGGTTCCCCAGCTTCTACCATCGCCTCCGATGATTCCACTGGAACTCCGTTCTTCGTTTCTCCCCACACTTACACCCCAACGGTCCCTGTCGAGACCCAGGCCATCGACGCTTCTGCTCCTGCCCTGGCGGTCAAGTCTGATCAACATGACCTCCCGGTCGCTGCGCAGGCTGGCATCGCCGTCTCTGCTTTGGTGGTAATCTGTATGGTCATCGCCGCCTACTTTCTGTGCACCAAGCAGAGAAAGAAGCTCAGAGCTTCTCGAGAGTCCATCAGCTCCATTGGCAAAGACGGACGCAAGCACAGCTCAGAGGACGAGACCAGCCAGCCGGCCATGACTACCGATCCGTTCTGTCCTGAGGAGGTCTTTTCCCCCTATGGAAGTAAGCTGCTTTCTACTATCCACCATTGTCTAAGAGGAAGGAAGCTGACAACTAACCAGGACGCTACGAAGAGCCTCAAACTCGCTTCAACCGAGTCAATAATATGAGTGTCAGTCGCATGATGAATCACCCGGTCAGTCCCGACACCCGCGATTCGATGTCTATACGGATGCCGCCGCCGCCGATTCCTTCTCCTGCGATGTCAACTGGCACTTTCAGAGCTACCACAGCCAGCCCCGACTTCTTGTCTCGCACCACAACGGCAAATCCCGACGTGGGCTATCGCACGGCCAATTCCACTCCCGACTTCACGTCCCGCATGACAACCCCGGACTATGTGTCTCGGCTGGGTACTGCCACCCCTGAGCTCCATGGCCCCCCTCAGCAAGCAGCCATTGCTGAATTGGCTTCTCCTGGTCTGCCAAAGGTTGTCGAGATCCACAGCAGTCGTAGCGGCTTGCAGAAGTACAAAGCGTACCGCCCCGACGGTGGCTCACTCTACCCTGTGGCGGAGACCACTCCCAGCTACCTCACCGGTACCCTGAACGCCACGGAACATGAGCGTTCTGAGGGCAGATACGTGACTAGTTGGTCAAAGTGGGATCCTGCTGCCTGAGAGCAAGTTAGCCGACTCTGCTTAAGATCTTGAGGTTTGGTTCTGGTTCTGGGGAGAGGAAAGGAAATGGTTTCGGTTTTCGGTTTTCGGCTTCTGTCAGGCGTTGACGATACCCAGGCTTGCTTTTCGGACACGCGATTGCCTGATCTTGCTGGTTCTTGTCAGAGTAAATTCAACGCACAATTGGGATGGTTCAAATGGAAATGCAACAAATGGAAATGGGATTGGAGATTGAGATCAAAAGGTCAATCATAGCTAGGCCTATTAATAGTTATCTCTACTCCCCTCAATGAAGAAAATGAAGAATTCAAATCACCCTGCTACTATGACCAGTGCCTACCTTAGGTCTGTTAGTGATCAGTGAACGCCTTAAACAACTACCTTTGAAGACAATTGCATTGTCTGAGGAGTACGGATATAAACCCCGTTTGCCGAATTCATGGGTATTTGGTATTCAACACATACTTAAAGACAATCTGATCCCCTTCCGTTTTACGCCAAACATGCAGTATATGCTTCTTGCATGGAAGTACTTCCATAGCCATTCCATTTTCTCTCCTCTCGCCCTAAAACCATTGGCCATGCTTACTTCCTCATTCCCAACCGCGGGACAGTGTTATGAGCGACGGAGCAAGGGTGACTTTATTGGGACTGCCCAGCTCCTGATACCCTAACTTTCTGGCCTCTGCCTCTTGCCGGGTTGTGGTGCAATATGCCGGAGGTCAAGCCCGTCATCTGCTTTGAAGCTTGCTGATCTCGTCAAGGAGTATTTGGAGATCATCGTCGGAGATCTTGTCTTGTAGGGACGGAATGAGTGTCTTGGCTTCTTCGGCCGTTTCGCAGCAAAGCGACCCTAAAGAAACAAAAACGGTCAGCATTTCCATCACTTCCAATCCGGTAAGTCAACCATTGAATTGGATTGGGCGCGGACCTATTTGTGCACGCTCAAACTTGGCGAGCTGCTTGTGTGCGGAGAGCAGTCGCTCGACGGCCTCGACGTTCTCTTTCTGGCGGAATCGGGAGAAGGCATCCAGGTAGTTGAGAGTCTGTGTCAACATCCTACACAGAGAGAGAAAAAAAAGATATTGTCAGCAGTCTGAGAAGGCACAAAGAAGAGTGGCGACGAAGGGCATCGCTCAAAGAGCAAGTCGCCATTGTGCATTGGACGTACTCGGTCTCGTTAATGTTCTTGCGATCCATCTTGCGCTTGGTCACGAGCGCGTTGATGACGAGTGATGCTTCGGACAATGTGAGCGTGTCGACGTGTTGGAATTCGCCGAGGTTGAGGATGGACGATGCCTCCTCGCTACCCGGGGGAGGGGGCTTCGGGCGCGAGGTGGGAGCGTGATGCGACATCTTTCTGATTATTTGCGACTCGTGGTCGTTGATTCGAAGAGTGGGAAACTGTTCAAAAAGTTCGCGCTATTCAGGAACCAGAGGGTCGGCCCTTTGCCGAAGGACCTGATGTCGCGTTGATTGCGGGGGGTTTGGATGAGACGAATGGATTCGCGGGGGTGTGTGGTAATGAGCAGCCGTTGTCGGCGGAAGCTGGAGGTGAGAAGAAGGTGGGTTGTAGATGAGGCTGAGAATTTCCCAAAGGCGGGTGCTATGTCTTGGGAATACCACACCCCTGGTGCTTGCCTTGTCGCCCAGGGCAGGAAGATCCAGGTCGGGGAAAAAGAAGAGGATGTGTCCCACTGAGCGCGCCTTCCACTGTCTTCGGGGCTAGCGCAGGCACCAGCAGGAGCGCGGGGGGGCGTTTATCCAGGGAGCTTGGTGTGGATTTAGTGACTGGGGACTCGTGTGCGCGGAAAGTGTGAGGTGTGCGGAAGGTAAGGTACCTGTCTGGGGCTGGGCTGGCTGGCAAGAGGACCGGTACGAAGTACCAGCTCCCTCACCCACATCTCCTAAGCTAACCTGAGGCCAGATGGGGATATCGAGAGCGACTGTATGAGTGCATGCTTCAGATATTGCATCGATGAGAACAATCTCAGATCATTACCATATTTCCCTTCCTAAGAGTCATCAGCTTTGAGCTGGTTCGACTGCTGAAATTATGTAAGCTCCCTCTGGCCCCAAGTGAGGAAGGCCATTCACTGACCTCGGCGACAGGACCGTATTTGCGCTCATCGTGATCAACAAGGCCGGAGGCCTGATCTACAACCGCACATTTCACGAGGGCGGCCTCAACCAACTGACCACAAATAGGCCGGAGGCCTGATCTACAACCGCACATTTCACGAGGGCGGCCTCAACCAACTGACCACAAATGACTATCTTGTGTTGGCAGGAACGTTTCACGGGTGAGAACATAAATGCCCTCAGCCGTTCATAGCGAGGGGGAAATGCTTACCCAACGTTCAAAAGCGTCCATGCCATCACCGCCCGGCTCAACCCTCTGATGAGCCGGCAAGATGCTGCAGCCGCTGCAACCGCGGCCAGCGTGACCGCGGCGGGCGGAATACCAGCACGGCCTGAGCCGCCAACGGGACTAGAGGTCATGGAGACGGAGAACTTTAGGCTGCAGTGCTTCAATACCATGACGGGCACAAAGTTCCTGCTCTTCACCGATACGACTCAGACCAACATCGACGTAACGCTTCGGAGGATATACGACCTTTACAGCGATTACGTTATGAAGAACCCGTTCTATCAGCTCGAAATGCCAATCCGCTGCGAGATGTTTGAACGGAAATTGTTATCATACATCCGGGAGATCAATAATCGATAGGTTCAGAGCAACGTCGCCACGGATGATAGACACAGCGATGGAGAGGATGATTCATGGGAGTCTGATTTCGTTTGGGTTGGGTAACGCTCATTGCGATACGGCGTTTGCAGGAGTCAGAGGCCCTTCTATTGAGCAGCATGTTCCTCTAGGACCAAGCCAATATTCTATTTTACATACTCGAGGTAGTGATCAACAGGCGAAGAACGACTTAGAGACAATTCGGAACATCTGTTTACGAAGTGTCCATCGAATCGTCATCCTTCTTGTCCTTCTTGCTGCTTGACTCGCCATCCTTGCCGAGGAGAGGCGCACCCTCGCCCTCCTCCTTGATGTCCTCAAGAGATCCTTTCTGACCGGACTCGGCCTCCTCGCGGGCCTTCTTCTCCTGCCGTGCCTTCTCGTCCTCCATACTCATGCGAAGCGCAAGTGCCAGCTCCGGGTCCATGGCAGGGTCGAAGTCGAACTCGCCAAAGTTGCCGCCTCCGCCGCCACTCTCCATGCCGCTGCCACCGCCGCCGCCGCCACCACCGCTTCCGCCAGCATTGTCTCCGAGAAGGATCGGGCTCGAAATGAGCTGGTCGCTAAGAAGCTTGCTGCTTGGGGGAATGACGACGAGGTTGGAGCCCTCACCACCCTTAACGCTCTCGTTGAACGCTTGCAGCTTCTTCTGCGTGTCGTCGTCGTCCAGGTCGCCGAACAGTACGAAATCGACCGAAACATTGCCCTTCTTCATCTTCTTGGCCAGCTGAACTAGCTTCTTCTCTTCCTCCTCGATGGGCGAGCAGACGAAGACGATTATCCGTTGTCGTTGGGACTTGTTCTGACGGTGCTTAAGGGCAAGCTGATGGAAACGTTAGCAAAAGGCTCGATGGCAATGATGACAGCGTTTATACTCACGCCGGCAACTTGAATGCCAGTGGCAAGGTGTGATGTTCCCTTGATCTTGGTCTTCGTGCGGTGCAATCCATCCAGGATCTTGCCCTGATCTGTCGTGAGGGTGACCAACACCTCGGGGCCCTTGCCACCCATGCTCATCAAGCCGACCGAGGACTCGGGGTTTCCATTTGTGATTGTCTGGAAGATAACGTTGACGGCGTCCGCTTGCGAGTCGTATCTTGTCGGTTGGTAATCACCGTTGCGACTGCTTTCGCTGTTGTCGACAACGACCATCACCGCTTCGAGGACCATCTTGACGGTTCGGGCGGGGCACCGGCGTGTGTTGCAGGAGGTTGTTATGTGAAATCTGTGGAGTCCGAATATTTTCTGATGTCGTAGACGAGTTTGGAATTGCGAAAATGTGCGAGGATGGGGGTGTTGAGTGGTGTTTGATCGTGCGAGCTTCGGATGGGAAAGGGAAGCTTGGTGTTCGACGTGGGTTAAGGTAGGTAGGCAGGGTGGGAGAGCTCCTGCGTAAGGCAGTTCAGCCTGGTGACGCTGGTTGCGTGAGGTGCGAGTAGAGGTACCTGAGAGTCAGGGGAGTCGTTGCGTGAATGTAAGTATTGAGACTCCGAGCCAAGCGCCTTGACAAGCGTTCGTATCAGGAAGGTACACTGTGCAAATATGAGCCCAACAGTCCAAGATTCGGATATACATCACACTCATTCCCGCCGGACTTTGGTAACTAACACAGGGCCATAGATGTCCCGGCCGAGGCCCTATGTAGTCTGCACTCCTACAAGCCTCGCCATGCCAATTGCGTGCAATGAGTCTTCAGTTGTTCATATTTGCAATTTCCGACGATGTGTATTGACTTCAGGAAATAAGTTAGACGCGGCGATGGGACTGCGCCTGATCGTACGGATTCGGAATTCACCTGAACCCATGAAATACACAGGGCTACCTAGGTATGGCTGCCGATTTTAGGTGGGGCCTTTGGAGATCCATGAATGGCCGGGACTGGCCAAGCTTCCATTGGCTTAGGTAAGGATCTTCCGCTGTCACGTTTGTTTACTTTCTGGAGCACTAGCCACTCATAACAGAGCCTCCGCCCCATCATCCTTAGCTCCATCAACTTTCACACTCCCGTCGCGGTCAGGCACGTTGCTCCAGCGTCAAACGCTTTCACCCACAACGACTAGCAATTTTCAGCAGACGACATGCCTCCCGCGCGAACGAACAAGAGAAGCTCAGATGAGATGGAGCAGCAGTCCACGATGTCACAGAGACAAATGGTATCGGCCAAGGCCAGCACGCCTCCAATGCTAAGCAGCAGCCCGAGCAAGCGGCAAAGGCTTGGAATCTCCCTGGAGCAAAAACAGGCAATCATCGATAACCTGCAGTTGGAGAGTCAGTAAATCCTTTGTGCTTTTGACCGCGTCTTCTAACCATTTCACAGTCACCGATCGCGCCAGGCGACTGCGCGCGCAATACAACCAGCAGGCACAAACCCTTCGATCACGGATCCAGATGCGCGTCAATCGTGTTCCCAGAGCCATGCTGAAGATGACCATGGCCGACCTGGTAGCTAGAGCCATCGAGCAACAGAAACGTCTTGAGGCCGCGTCGCGCCCGCCACCTGTTCCCGAGAAGGACTTTCCACCACGGGGGAGCCCGCATAAGCTGGCACCGCCAGCCCGCCCTGCCAAGCGTTTGAGGTTTGTTCACACATGGAATTATAGCATTTTGCCTTACTGACACCATATTGCAGCGATGCTATCGCGGGCGGAGACAAGGAGAACGAGCAAATTCTCAATCCCAAGAAGAAGCACCGTGCTGCCCCTGCGCCACTGAGTTCGTCGCAAGTCCTGTCGCCCACCTCATCCAACACCCGATCGCTGGCACGCGAGCGACCGCCTTCCTCGCCCTCGAAATCCTCCCAGATTGCGCGACCGACGTCGTCTCCCGTTAAGCAACATAACAGCGCCCGGTCAGCTCTGTCGAGTATGGTGGAGAAGGCGAAGAAGACTAGTCGCACAGCTCCCTCGCGTCCTTTGAATGCGTCAACGGCCAGCTCGAACGCATCAGCGCCTGCACCTGCTACGGGAACAGCGCCTCCCACACGAACGCGACGAGCCAACACAACCACGGCAGCTAAAGCTCCCTCACGACCTGGAACGCGGACGGGCAAGCGAGTCAGCGATTCAAGTGAGGGCAGCACCGGAACAGTAGTCAAGAAGACAGCAGCGGGAGCACCCGCGAAGAGAACCGTAATGGGTACAATTAGAAAGGGAGTTGGCGCAGCAACTGCCAGGAAGCCCGCAGCGCCTAAGTCGGCTCCGGCATCTGCGGCGAGTACCACCAGAGTACTGCGGAAAAGGGGTTAGGTCTGCGAGGATTCAGAGGAGCAACCATTCATTATCTTGATGCCGTCATTTTTATGGCGGGGCGTGTGCTGGGCGTACTTGGGCATACTCACTATGGATTGGATTTACATGGCGTATTGGGAATAATGACAGAAACATGATGACGGCCAGGCATACTCAATTGATGGATTACGCCTTTCAAGGCTCAAGCTGTCGGGGCAGCCTTTTTCTTCTTGTCCTCGACCAACTCAATGTTATCCTCGGGTATCTCCTTATACTTTTCCAACAAAAACTCCTCAATCTCGTCGCTGACGTCTCCTTGAACGACAATCTCCTCGCTACCGCTTGGGGTCTTGGTGACGGACGAGCCAGTCGCAAACTTCTTTCCAAACTCCTTGGCAACCTTCTTATTCTCGAGACCGAATGACTCGAGGCCAGAGACTGACGTGACGTACTTTCTTTTGTTGCGCTCGATCCGCTTGATAGTGACCATACTGTTGGCCAACTTGTCGGCTTGCTTGGCCTCCGCAGCTTCGGCCTTGGCAGCCTTCTTCTGTGCGTCTTTGGCGGCTCGCTTCTGGGCGTCTACTGAAAGGGATGCGGTCGCTTGTTCAAGGGCCTCTGTGGATGAAGTTGTAAGCATCTCGTCCCAGTGGCTTGGAGGTGCGGGGCCTCATACCTGCTGACCAGATTCTCGCAAAAAGGTCGGGATGCTTCTTTTCTAGCCAGTCCTGGCACTTCTTTACGGTGCCTCCATACTCGCAGTACTAAATCGGGACAGTTTCAATGAGTATCCCGAAGGCTTGCGGAGTTTTGATTAGCCATGACGTACCTCTGGAGGAAGAGTGCAGACTACACGTGGGGTAACAGGTCAATATTCGCGCCTCGAGAATCTGTATTTTTTGGAAGTCAAGGTTGGTCGTATTGACTTACCACCGCAGTAGGTTACATGGCGGCCTTGAGGCTCACCAGAGGTTTCTGACTTGTCATTGTCGGCCATCACGATCTGAAAGGGCCGTTTGTGACAGTAAAAAGGTCGCTCGAAAAGGATGTGAAGCGGAGGAATCGAGTAGTTAAGGGACGCGTGCCTCTCTCTCTTCTCGGTCTTCCAAGGACGGCCGACTGCGGGGTTGATTTCGATGGCGGGGCAATGGATCAACTGCCACAGCAGACCACCTCATCTTTGCTGCTTAGGTAATTGATGTGGCTGGTGATGCGGGAGAGGTCGACATAGCTCCAGCCACAAGGAAGTTGACTGCCGCCGACCGCGCTGCCGCTGTCAATGTCAAGCTCCAAATTCACCTTCCCCACAGACATCACCAACAAGACGCGAACTCGGCATGCAAGTGATTCAACCTGCATCAACACCCCCGCCGCTCGCCGTTTGCATTCGGTGATGGTCTACGGAGCACTCCTCTTCTGTTTCTCAAGGTGAGGTCACCGCCTTTGCCCGTGGCGGGACTGAAACGGAACATTGTAGCATAAGAACGTTGACGCCCAAGCCTGAGCTCGGCGCACGCTGCTACACGGATCGAGCAGTCAAGACCGATATTTCACCAGATTCTTGCATGAAGAGACCGTATGAGCTCCATGCGACGGTCAATAGTTTGTTCTCCGCAAGGCCAGCTCAGAGACCTTCCAACTACTGGATGTAGCTTCGTCAAGTGACCAGCCATCCAATCCAGGTCGCTTTTAAGCGCCCGTCGAGCGCCTGTCATTATCATTGGTCGGTGGCACGATAGTTCTGCGTCCCCAATCAGGCTTGCTCCCACCTTCCCGCCTCTCGTCTTCGCGCGCGCCAGCCAGTCGACGCCGTGAACGCTCACAAAGGCCATGTTCTTCTTCCATGTGCTTAAATTAGATTCTCTTCCTTGGGTACCCATTGGCCAGAAGACTTGTTCGTCGCTCGATGGGTTAACCTTTTCGGACGGGGATGTGTTCGTCGTCTCCTCATCACTGCCTCCCATGCGCCGGTAGCACATCCCCATTCGGGCCAATGCAGTGTATGCAGCAGGCGCGCTGCATTCAAAGTGCTACCTAGTGACTGCAATGCATCATTCCAAAGATGCTGTGCTGTCCGTCTTGGGTGCGCATCTCACCGTTCCGTCGTGCGTTTGTGTGTGCGCATAACGTGTTCGTACTTCGCAACCCACTCGCGCGGCCTACTAGTTAGCCGCCTCCCGCCCATGCTACTGATGATGAGCAAGGCCTCATCAGAGTATATCACTTGGCCCTGGCCAACCGCCGAGCCTCCTCTATTCCTCCTTTTCCCTCTTCTCATCTCCTTCTCCGCGTCATTGCTGTTTGCAAACTAACCTTTAAGGCTTCGTTGATCGAGGCAGCCTGTCGTTTACACGATTTTCCTACTACCCTTCAAATAATAACATTCACCAACGCAACGACGCCGGCCGTCTTACGACCAAAGCTGTTTTGACACCCAACGTCGCATTTTGCCTATATTTATACCGTTACAGCACATAGGAACCGCAAGTCTATATCAGGATATCTGACTGCATAGGGGAAAATGGCTGAGATTATTCACTTACCATCATCGACATACAGACCTCCCTCCCCTTCGCAGGCTCGGAGGCAGGGGAGGTCACTTAATACTATAATGGAGGAGGAGAGCGAGGATGTACAGTATGCCACCGACAAAAGGCAGCTTAGGAGCCAAACCTCAAACCTCAACATTGAGGCCTGGCTATCGCCCCTGAGCGACCACTTTCCCACACCAAGAGGCTTCCACTTCCTCTCCGCTCCCATCTTGCCGTCATCGCCGTCAACTGTATCGGCTGATGAGAGCAGCTCTCCCTCAACATCGTCAAACCCGTGGAACAACAACAGATCAAGCGTCATGACCGATGTCACCGAGTTTGACGACCTATACGATGTTACCGATGAGGATGAGCCAACCTCGCTGCGCCGAGTACCGTCCCGCAAGGCCTCCGTGAGGCGGCTTAACTCTAGTCGCAATGAGATGGCCAAGCAGAACGCGACTGGCGCTCGCAGAGCTTTGCCTCCCCTCGTCATTCCCGGTGCTCGGAACACTTCTACGGATGATTGGTCTGCTGCCAGTCTCAAGAAGACCCTCGCATCACCAGTGCCACCAACACCGCCAACTCGCGTCGAGATGTCTCCTCAGGTCTTCTCATTCATGCAGGCGAAGCAGGCCCAAGAGATCCCTACAATCTCGGCACCACCATCACTCGATGGCAGCCTGAGCTCAGAGCAGTTGGCACACATGTCAGCGCCGCCAACGCCCATCATCGGTAGCGACAATGGCAAGGAGGAAGACTGGTCTGGTGTGCGACTGCAACCCGGCGCGTTGGCAACTCTGCACGCCCTTTCTGGTGATAACGATAGCCTGCACGAGCACGATCATGACCACTCAGACCAGGTTCTCGAAATTCCTCAAGAGCCCATCCCCGAGATGCGCCAACAGCCTCTGCGCCTATTCACCAATATCCGTCCCGAGGCCCCGCGCGCGGCCGTCCTTACCCCGAACTCCCGCCGTCAGTCTTTGGCCGATCTCACCAAACTCGACATCCCTTCCCCTGGCGGCTTCTTCTCTGGACTTTCTCCCAGAACGAGGACAACATGGCACATGCCCGCGGCAAACATCGAAGATGTGGTGCCGCCAACATCCACCACCGCCGAGCAGTTCTACCGCTGCCCCTGGAACATGGACGCTTCCGTGCCCCCAGTGCCGTCAGCACCAGCCAAGCTTATCATCAACGATGCTGCCGAAGATTTCTACCGCAGCTCGGTCCCTTCGTCTTCCGCAATTGTAGAGCAAATCATCGAGGTGGACAATGAGGAGATGGATGAGGATGACATGCCAACTGCCAGGCCCATCGTCCCCGCCAACGCCTCAAGCTCATCGGTAACGCTTGCTGAGCCAACCTCCCCCGACGCCGAGGATGTACCGACAGAGATTGTGACGGTCTACGACCCTGAGTACGCTCGAAAGCAACAGGAGGTTACCCTCTCAAACCTGGATCGCACCGAGCTCTGGCTCAGGGCCCAGCGCGCATACCTGAAGCCCGTCGAGGCTGCAGAGGAGACTGAGGAAGACAACAGCCTCGACACCATTCCCGAGGCTGCCGACGAGGAAGTTGAACACTTCCCTGAGCAAGAGATTCCTGCTTCTTTGCCCAGGAAGAAGATGGTCCGCTTCTCCGAGGTCGTCTCCAAGACCGATATCCCCCGCCGTCTGCCCTCCAAGCTCTCCAGACAGGAATCGGCCTACTACCGCGCCTTCCAGGATTACGTCGTCCGTTCCAGCAAGCAGGACGTCATCGTCCACCAGCTCCCTCGCTTCGAGGCCCTCCAGGCCCAGCGCGTATGCCTCCGCGAGTTCCACCGTAACCAGCTGCTCGGCAAGTACCAGCTCAGTGTCGTGCCCCAGTCCGCCAAGAAGCGCCTCAGCGCAAACGTTGCCCGCGGCGACGACATCCTCCACGACGACCCCGAGAAGCTGCGTCGCGAAAAGGAACACGAGGCCATGTCTCAGATGGCCATGCCCACCTGGCACGTCGCCGCCATGAAGATGCTCAACGGCGGCAAGCTCATCTCTGCCCCCGTCGCCAAGCGCCTCGGGCGCCTTTCCCGTATGGCACCCGGCCGCGACGGCGTCGCCCGCGACAGGGCCCGCATCCTCGACCTCGGAGGTCAGTCCGCGTGCGACTGGGCCTGGCACTGCGCCCTTCAGTACCCCAACACCAAGATCTACACCGTCACCACAAAGACGATCCGCCAGCTGTCCAACTCCAACGTCCGCGGTCCTCCCAACCACCGCCAGGTGGCCGTCGAGCGCCTGACCCGCCTGCCCTTCAAGGACGACCAGTTCGACCTCATCTCGGCACGCGAGCTGCATAGTATCCTCAAGTTCGTCGGCGAGAACGGCGAAGACGAGTGGGAGACGTGTCTCAAGGAGTGTATGCGCGTGCTCAAGCCCGGCGGCTACCTCGAGTTCTCGGTCCTCGACTCGGACATCTTGAACGCCGGGCCCATGGGCCTAGCAAAGAGTGTCGAGTTCGGCTTCGACCTCAAGACGCTGGGCTACGACCCCAATCCGACAAAGATGTTCCTCGGCCGCCTCTCGCGCGCAGGCTTCGACGAGGTCCGCCGCGCGTGGATGTGCCTCCCCATGGGCGCCCGTCCCCAGTCCCAACAAACGCAGGCGCAGAAACCTCTGCCCTCGCTGCCCCCGCTCGCCGTGCGGGAGAGCCCCGACGGCGAGGAGGTCAGGACGGTGCAGATGGAGGCCATGGTCACCGGCAGCACGGACGGCGTCGCCAACGTCACGGGCATCGTCGGGGGCTGGAGCTGGGAGCGCTGGCTGCTGCGGTGCGAGATGGAAAAGGTCAGCGGCGAGCTGCGCCTTGCGGACACGGTGACGGCCGGCGCGGCGATGCGGGAGGCAGGCAAGAGCGTCGAGGGCGTCGCTGCCATTGTCGAGGAGGGACGTGGATGCGGCGCCGGGTGGAGGATGCTGAATGGTTATGCGAGGAAGCCCAAGACCGGCACGGGACTCATCTCTGTCGGTTTCGAGGTTTGAAAACAAGCTCGCATAGAGTCGAGCTGATACTGACACATCTTCTCTCGCTCTATCTCTCCACCTCTTACGTATATACATATATATATACACTACACCCCCATTCCCCTTTGTTTCCCCTTTCCTTTGTTCAGAAGCAATGATGGCAGGATGGGAATATGATTACGGAAGTGACGGAAAAATCAAGTACATGGTCATGGAAACGTATGTGCATATGGGCTGTAATGAACTTTGCGGGCGCGCGCGGCCGTGGTCAACAGGCGCTGGAGGCTTGTGCATGGGAACGGGAATACCGGTGGTTGACTAGATGTCGAGCACTTTGAATAGGCATGTTCTGGTAGCTAAATGACACTTTGACCTTTTGGTCAGCAGCCTTGTCTCTTGCCCTCACATGCAATGTGCGCTCCACCCTCTTTCCATGATAGGTAGACAAGTAAGTCCAAAGCTAGGACGGTAGCTATCACCGAGGAGATGCTTCTGGTAGAATGTTTGTCATCAAATAATCAGGCCACCAGGGACCTTTGGTATCGTTTCATTAATAAGTTAAGCTGTATCGAAAAGTATTACAAACCTGGGTATTTGGGGAAAGATGATTCCAGCCTATACATGACACATGAACAAAAGCAACGTCCCATCTACCCAACCCCAATTCGTCGCTATGGGTTGGTATCCATCTTTTCGCCTACTGGCGACCCGGTCTGTACGTTGATGGTATCATTGTCGCCTAGCCGTTCCCTCTCCTCAGCACCTGATACTGAGGGCAGCCCCGACGAGTCCCTAGGCGTCTTGGCCGACGTCGGTACGATAACGTTAAGAACGCAGTCGTCAAGATGTTCGTAAAATTCTTGGGCTGTTCCGAAATAACTCTGGCAGATTGAGCACTTGGCACCGTCTCCTCGGACATTGCCGGACCCGCTGATGATGAGCTTCCGGCTATTGGGAGGCGTCTGCTCAACGTTATGTACCGAAGTGAGATGTCGCTTGAACACGTCCGCACGATTGAACGCCTTCTCATATGCAGTGCCTACCCCTGGGCAGAATGGACAAACCATCGTCCCCTTGTAGTGTGTCAGTGCATGCCGATTCTTGTCATACTTGCGCGCGAATCCTTTCGTGTGGTACTCGCAAGTCTCTATCGGGCACTTTTCCGGACGTTCTTCTTGGTGCGTAAGCATGTGTGCTGCAAGATCCTTGAAGACGCGACCGCAATCTGGGTGAGGACACCGAGTCCGATTATCCAGGGTTTTGCTTGATGGGCTGCTCATCTGAGAAGACACCATTGATTCAGCGGGAGCTATCATCAAGGGGACAGCCGGCGGTGCTGCCGCTAGCATCGTTGGACCGAATGTAGGAGATCGCACAGGCGGTGGCGGAGGTGGCGCCTGGGTGAAGTACTCAAGCGGCTGTTTGTAATCGGCCTCTTCCCCTCCGCTCGAGTCGTCCTGGTCTTGAATATCAACAGACTGCCGCACCTCTCTCATCCAGTCCTTGAGAATGGTCATGGGCGGCCAATCTCCACTAGCCTTTCCACCTCTGTGCGGGTTGAAATGCGCTCTCCGGAGATGCGCTGCCGCATTGTAGTAGGCCCCGTATCGTTTCTGCGTCACACACGCTTTACATTTTGCAAGTGGTATGACAGGTTGCGGCAACGTCGGGCTATAGGTATCTGGCTCAGTGCATACCCAACGCCTCACCAGTGAAGCGTGTTTGGCATCGGTATGCCTACGGAGCTCGTGTTCGCCTCTAAACCCTTCGGGGTACTCATTACACTTTATGCAGTAGACGCGACGTAAGGGGGGCCGCTGATACGTCGGCCGCCCTCGACCGCCCGAGAGTGGGGACTCCAAAGGCCTCAAGGCGCCTCGGGGAAATGTTGGACTCTCTCCGACGGTATGCCGGCGGCCCAAAGGATCTATTCCTTGGGGCGAAGTAAGGTAATCCGGACCTATTGTAGCGGCAAATGGGTCTCGGTCTGATAGCGGGGCCGGGTTCGGGATCCAAGGATCGCCCAAAGCTCGAGGGTCGTGCATAGGACGTCTGGGTTCTTCGCTGGGTTTGGCGATGGGCGGAAGAACGAACATACTGGTACGTGCTGGAACTCTTTGCCTGAGGAACCCGTTGAATGTGGCTGCGCCTTCCATGTTGCCATCTCCAAGATGTATCAAGAAGTCTTTGGAAGAAGCAAAACCCTGCTGACCCCAAGTGTCCTTTCTCATAACCATGTACAAGGAGTCTGTGATGGCCCTGTCTCGTTCATCGAGATCCGCGGTCTGTTCGTCGAGTAACATGGGCCCAGAACTTGCAAAGAGCGTGACCAGAAGCTTGTAGACGCTGTTCATGGCGTGCGCACCGCCTGTCCCCCTCCAGGTCGGAGGAGTGTGCGATGATAGGCGTCTCGGCAGGTAAGAGGCAATGTCCACCAAGATCGTACGCACAACACTGAAGATGCAAAGTGCAATAAACACCGCGCACCAGCTCTTCGGGTCTTGTGGCCCCTTCTTGACCGTGGTACTCTCAAATGCCTGGAGGAACTGCGCCGTACAATTGTAGAGTAAACGATAATGAGCATCTTGATCGACTTCATCCGTAAATAGGGGTCGGTGGGGTGGGCCTCCGTCGAGGCGAATCGAAGGTTCTGGTTGTTGAAGGTCCCAGAACATGACCTCTCGCAGCAACAGTTTCGCCCGATATAACACTGGGAATACTGCTTCCTCCATCTCTCTCGTGGCCGCAATTAGACCGCTCGTCTTCAGAAGGTGAAGAAAGTTGTATGCAGTTCCTCCGCCATTCCAACTTGCTGTTAGGATATTCAAGATTGGCGGTGGCCGATCGATCGTTTCTCTAGGGTAGTGTGAAAGCGTAGAGTTGGCTAAAGGAAGATTTGCAAGTTCTTCCGTCCACCAGAACCCGTCATCAAAATCAAGATTTGCTTTGACCGCATGTAGTATGTCCGGTGATATGCGGTAGCTATTTTCTAGATGCTCGTTCATGCTTCTTCGCTGGGCTAGCGGAGATGTGATTGGAGTCTGTGATTGTCTTGGAGATACTGGAGCTTGTTTGTTAGACCGGGTCTGTTTCTCGTAAAACTCGAGCACTAACCTGGAAGCATGATGTCCGAAAAGGCGTCAAGGGGGCCACGATGACAGCCGATAGCCTTCCAAAAGTCACTACTGGGACTAAGTGGCTGGTCCGCGCAATAATAACAGGGCTCGTTCGAATCGCACTACCATTATGTGTCAATGAACCTACACCAAAAAGCTGTAGTGGACTATCATTCTTACCGGTTGCTTAGTAGCCATACAGCGCAAGCATGGTCCAGAGTCTTGAAGCAGCCTGAGCTCGCCAATCGACTGGAGCCGAGACTGACCAACTCTACTACGTTTCAAAGGGGGCAGCAACGGGTCGACTTCAGAATCAACAGAGCCGCGTCCTGGAGCGGAATATTCGCTGACTAGCGAGTAGGATTGAAGAGTATCGCGGCGTTCTTTCGGCTGGCTTGTTGTCAAAGGAGCTAGCTGGGTGCTGGGCGATGGCTTTGGAAGTTGGAGAGCCAGCGGCTGCTTTCCTGTCTCGGGGCCCCATGGTCGCAATGTCTGGTATTCGGGAAAGGAAATCGGCGGTGTGTTGCCGACTGACATGCCCGAGTCGCGATGGGGGTGCAATGTATGCTCTCGGGCATGATTGTCCCGCTCGTCCTTGTTGTGGAAACCGTAGATGTAATGTATGCAGCGCTCGTCCCAGCACTTGAAAGAGGACGTGGACCGGGACGACGGTGACAGGCTTTCCCTCATCTTCCATCCACGGACTACCGGGTCGTGTCCTTCAAGATTACGGTCTAACCAAGCCGCATAGCCAGTCGGCGCTTCGTCATACAGAGATCGTTTAAGGGCATCAACCATGTTTGGGTCCAGCAGATCGTAGCCTGGAAACTATGTTAGAAACTGGCTACGAGGTAATATCTGGGCGGGACGGGGGCAATTCACCTTGCTCTAAGCAAGCAGTCTCTATACATTCGCATCGGTACTGCAATGACCGAGCCTCCTCGAACTCAGAATTGATTGGTATACTGGCAGAAATATCTAAGAGCATTGTTAGTCAGACGATTGAGAGGGAGACCAGGCAAGACATTATTGAAGCGCGGCATCTTACGGTGATGATCAGAGTAGGCTTGTAGAACCCGCAACTTGTGGCGAAGCATGTCAAGCTCCAACTTGGCATTGAGACCATACTTTGCGGGTAGCAAGGCAGCAAGCCTTGCTTGAATCTCGGCCTGCTGATCGAGAAGTTGTCGGATGGCGCTATCGAGGCCGGGATCGGTGAGGTCGGCCGCCATTCCTCCCGGGCCACGAGGGCGTCCTCCTCCCACCAACGACGACGACAGTATGGGCGAACTCGAGAATTGTAGTGGACAAGGCGCAAGGAGAAATTGCACAAGTAGACATGAGTTGTCGTCTGCTCTGCTTCTCAAAAAGCCGTTTCGTTCACACGTCGATGTGACTGGTACGGGTGCATCAGATACAAGCTTTTAAGAACCGATTCACGCCGTTTCTCGAATCCTCTCTAGTTGTAGACGCGATGTGCATATCATCAGTCGTTGGGAAGGCGTCTAGGGGTGATGCTATCGTTGTTTTGGCGTTGCTTTTTGTTGGCGGTTTTGCCGCGGGCGTTTTTTGTGTAAGGTTGGAATGGACTAGGCATGTATGTGACGGTCGGGTTCATGCTTTTTCTAAAAGATTGATCAATGGGTACCGATTAGTATGTTGCATGCTGTTGCTCGCTTTTCTTCCCGGCGTCCGCAGATCTTTCTCTGTCTTTGGCGGATTCGAGTTATTTCCAACTTTTTTTGCCTCATTCCCACCAGGGGTGGTTCGTCAGGATCGAGCGAGGTGATGTAAGGTACAACAAGCGAGACTTGCGCAGCTTGCTTGGATGAGCGGGACCCTTGATCGAGTTTCCATTCCAGTTCCAGGTCTAGCTCCAGGTCCAGATCTAGCTCCAGTATCCAGCTCTAATCCACAAGTGGCTGAGATGTCAGCGAGCGAGAGACAGGTGGTGGTGGTGGTAGCGGTAGCGGTAGTGGTAGTAGCTGCTGATGGTATGCGGTCTCCGGTTTTGTTTCCGATGCAAGCTTGGTCCTCACTGCCGCTCAGATTTCCGTCTCTTTTCTGGGCCGACCTTGAAAGAAGAAACACACAGTGCACAGGCGAGACGAAGGAGAGGGAGAGGGAGAGGGAGAGGAGGAAGAAGGATGATGCAGAGAGATTGTGAAGAATTGGACAGGCCGGAAAGAATTCAGGGCAGGAATCTCGGTACGGTGGGTTTGAGGGTCGGATTTTGGCGGGAATGGTCTGGATAGCGAGTGAGAGCACCCTACCCGATCGCGGTGCTGGTGTGCTCCTCCCTCATTGGGGAGACAGGACCTTTTATTGCCTTGTTACCAGGCCAGGGTTCATTTGGGGAAGTGGGGCTATCGTGGCTAACGGTCTTGTAAGGTAGATTAGAGCAAGATATGGAGCAGAGCAACGCGACGGCGAGCAAGCTGCAACTGCAAGAGAGCAGGGCAAGGGTGGAGAGAGAGAGAGGCGACGTGATGCTGGTGTCCCGTCGGAAGACAGAGAAAAAAAAAAAAGGGACCCCAGCTGGGTTCCGGTTTGGACCTGGAAAGGAAGGGGGGGGGGGGGGGGTGGTTTGATTACAAAATTGAGAAACGGTGCCACAGGGGAGACGACGGGTTGAACGGCGGACAACAGACAACAGACAATATGATACGGATATTATTGTTGATGATCCGGCCTGACAAGTAGATGGCAGGGACACCGTGACGGAGGCTGACAGAGAGGAAGAAGAGGGTGAGAAGGCAAGAGGGAGAAGAACACCAGAAGAAAAAAAAAGAAAGAGGCTGGATGCACCCACTCTACACGCAGCGTAGTAGTTTGGGGGACGAGGATGGGGATGCGCCCAGGATGATGAAGACCAAAGACCGGGACGGGTGAAGAGCAGCGACAGGTCCCAGCTGGGATCTGGCAGGGTGTCTTTTGCTTTGCCGCCTTGCGCAAGCAAGCAATTGGATAGGTAGAGCAAGGTAAGGAAGGTACTTCATCCACAACACACTTCACTTACCTAGGTACCTCGTTGCCTTCCTTGCCTTCCTTGCCTTTGGACCTTGGGCAAAACGTAGCTGACAGATATGGTTGGCTGTGAGGCAAGCACACGGTAAGATATCCCAAGGCCTGGAGGGATTATGGATGCTGGTTATGGATATGGATACCTTATGGATATGATGACGGGACGGAATAACTAAGGAAGGAAGGAAATATGGAAGGTCTTGAAAATGCCATATCCGTACCTTGCGAAGTACGAGGTAGCCAGCTGCCTCGCCTCGCTTCTTTCATACCTACCTACCTCATGATCCATCCCATTGCTAATAGTCCTCTTTCCCATGTCAATATAGCACCTTCTCCCGATCTTCCATCTCCTTCCTACCTATGTCAGGTACCTGCTCTCAGGTACCTAGGGTTAGTAGTTTACTCCTTGCGCTTTCCTCGCCTCCACCCTTCCGCCCTTTCCCCTAACATCGACGGAATGCACATCACTCGCGGGGCAGGTACTGTACTTCCAGGCCCCAAGCCGAGTAAGGTAATGTGCGATACCTCACTTCAGCTTGTCACGTAAGGTAAGGGGCTGTGTGGCTGTGGGTGTTCAAATTTGACCCAAAGATCTCGTTGATACCCGCAATGATTGTGACCAACCTACCTAATGTCCAACCTGTACTCCGTACTCCGTACCCTTCAACGTTTGCCTCCTGCCGGCCCTGACTCCGTCGAGCCCTTCAGCAACTTCCCTCTTTTATCTGACCCCTCCCATCCGCTCCGCTTCTTCCCATCCCTAACTTGCCTCACTACCTTAGTGTACCTTACTGTCCGCCACTTGGAATAACCCTAATGAACCGCTTACCTTCAGCGCCGACACCTTATCCATCCCGATTCAGCTTATTTCGTCAACCACAGACCACCGTACCTAGACATCAGCTGCTCCTCAAAATTCGACTACCTCGCCACGGGATATCCCTGGATCTTGTATCAGGGGTTTTCCGTCCCAAGGTTGAGTGAGGTCCTTTACTTCCTATCCAAGGCACGTTGTTCCGCATCGTCCATTATGCCTGCCGGCGCAATCACCACCGGCATCATTCCATCATCTACTTGAGCCCATGAACAGCACCAAACAGTGTCATGGACAATTGCATTTCTCCTTTTCTCTAGCCTCGGTGCCGCTCTTTGACAGCCTGCCCTTCACTCCGTAAAAGGTACAGACGACTACCAATAGTCCATCCTTCTCCATCTCGCTGGACGCACTGTGGGAGACTTCGGCCGCCATCCGACCGATGTTTATCCAAGGGTCTTTCATTGTACCCTCCTTACCCTACCTGCGCATCCCATCCACGGCCGGACAGACACCATGTATGGTATGCTTACCTTGCCTCATCTTGGCTTCCCTAGCAATGCCGTCCTAATCGTCTTTCCGATTCCACGTTCAGCCTGAGGCGTTTATAACGCTCTCGAAACTACCGGTCTTCTAGTTCCATTGATCCCCCTCTCTCTGACACCCCCAGGAAGAGTCGATAGTCGACCAGTGGCAACACAATCCGCATAACTGTGCCATGGTCATTGCTGGATCTAGCAGGTAAGGCGGGAGCGGACTTATCGAGCATATGTTGGCCTCGCACGCCTTACGCCTCTTATCAGCTCCCCCTTCGGCCTTACCTCGCCCGTCTCCCATTCAATGACGCCCGTCTTGGAACCGTACCGCCCTCCGATTCGCACGGGGCATGGGTCACGACCAATGCACACACCTCGAGTCCCTGTTGTCTAGCATCCCACACCCCCGCCTCATCCCAGCTTCTTCCCAACCAAGTTACATTAGCCACTTGCTTGACTGGTTAGCTTCCTAGCTCTTTTGAACCAGCAGCTCGCAACAGACCGCGTTTCTGTCCCGACTGCCTTCAAGCCGCATACTGTCGCCGTGGTCCCAGCGCAACCTCGAGCTGCTTTCATGATGACTGCTACACCACGGAATCTCGAGCTACTGGGGGCTATGGAGAGAGAGAGAGAGAGAGAGAGAGAGAGAGAGAGAGAGAGAGGGGAGAGGGACAAGAAGTTCACAGCCGTTGTGTCATTGAGGGGGTGGTCAGCCGCCGCACACTCTCTCAGTCAACCACAACCAGTCTGGCACGTTTGCCTCCAACCCCTTGAGCCTCGACCTGTCCCATGAATCCTACTCTTACCTTCTGGTAGGGTCTTCTGGTAAGTCTCGTTCTTTACCGCTTTATTTCCCGCCTTGCGAGTGGAGGCGCTGAGGAAAAAGGCAATCAGAGACGGGCAAGTGAGGGCCTCGGAGAAAGAAACTACTTACCTAGTGTACATATGTAGAGAGCCCAGAAAGCTCCATCCAACGGGTTCATGGGGCCCATGAGCCAGGCTGTGGGCGTCGACAACGTGGGGCCGCTTGCGCCATCTCCGACTCCCCGACCGCCGGCCGCTGCCCCCAAGTCAAACAAAAGCCGACTAGTAACAGGGAGAGAAAAATATCAGACGAGACCAGACTAAACGTCTGTTTAGCCTTACTGTCCGTCCGTCGCCTCCGTCCTGTTTGTGTGCCCTTCGGCTTCGTCTCGAGCCAGTCCGTCTGCTCCTCGCACGAGTCTTGACGTCTGTCAGCTGCATTGGCAGCACATAACCACTCGCTGCCCTGACCGTTCAAGCTTTCCCTTCAGTATTTCAGCGAGTAATCAATCTTCCACGCTGACGAGAGCTCAACTACCGTCTGCCAAAGCTCGCTTCTACGTCGCAATTGTGTACACTACGCAGCAGCCAGCAATGCGCTCCATGGACTGCTGAGCCGGGCCTGGCCTGGCCTGGCTTCCCTTAGGCTTTTCGCTCGCTAGTGCAAGCTTGCAACGTCAGGTTCTATTCGGGTTGGGGGCGGTTCTCGAAGCATCACGCGAGTGCAGGGGGATCCCTCTATGGGCAAGAAATTGCGACATTTCCGCCTTGCCTGCCAGTGTGCGCAGCCACCAGCCTGCGCAACAGCTCTCCGTCGCAGCTCTTAGAAGACAGCCCTGGCTGGTCTTCGCCTCGAATCTCATCTCGCTCTGTCTCTCGACGACGCGGGTGTTTCCCGTCATAGGCGCGATTGGAAGGCACCTGGAGCCAAACCGACGTCTATATGACCACGCCCACGCCACACGGGCCAGCTTGCTAGGCTCCACGTGGGCCATGGAGTCCGTGGTACGATGCTGGGGGGCAGTCCCGGCAGAAACAAGCATGTGCCGAGTCACCGTTACAACCTGCAGATAGCTGCTGCGGGTGACGGCGAAAATGGTGGATCACAACCACAGCTTGCTGAGAGCAAGCCTGCCCTTAAAGCAGCGACAGACATGCAGCGTCGACCGTCACACGGCCGATGGGGTTGGCCGTGCCAGGCTCTAGGCCTTAGGCCTGACAAGCGGTCTCTCGATCGAAGCACCACGACTGGACGGACGATTCTCTTTTCACCCCACCATTTCCTGCCGCTCTCCTCTTGGACGAAGTCAAAAGTCACTTGGATGGAGAATGTGCGAAGCAAGATATTGGACAAGTCGCAATGCTCTGTAATCGTACAGAACATCTCGGACACGAGACCAACTTGATCACATCCTTTCCTTGCAACAGAAGCCCCGGTCCACAGTCGTACGCGTCGGTTCATCATCTAACACGGTCAAGACAACTTACTCGAAGAGCCGAAAACTCTCCTTGGACAACACTACTAAGCGATATGAAGTTGGCCGTTGCACACAGGGGAGAGTTCAGCCCGACTGAGAGGGCCCGCAAGACATCGAATAGACCCTGTTCACGGTGAAGGGCATGTAAAGTTCAACAATACTCAAATGTTCGCGGCTTGAACTGCAATAGCACCATGGTTAGACCATGATGCCCTGGTACGTGCTCACGGCTCGTTCGCCATGGCACATGAGCCGTGTCTTGCCATGAAGTCAAAAAGCTTTTCAAGGTAGGGATGTCGCTAGATTTTGAGTTGTGGTTGATGAATGCAGGAGATGAGGAGCACGCAGTCCATATACCCGTCACTGCCCGTACCACACCTGGCAACCCTAGCATCCTCCTGGCCGGTTGAATTGGTATCTAGAGGTTGCTATTTGGCATTTCCGGAACGTTGGTTGGTCGGACGTTTTGTACCGTACGGCAGACTTTGTATCGACATGAATAACCCCCCGATGACTCTCGGGCCATCTGCTGGCTCTGGTTCGGTCCAGTGGGGGAGTTCATCCTCCTTGCAAGCCAATTAGTTCTGGCCCCCGGCAACTAGTATCCTGATCCCTGGATCCGGTACCGAATAAGACATCATCGTACAGGCGGCAAATTAGTCAAATAAGCCGCGTGAACAGAAGGCAACGTACCCCGATGCCAAGTAGATGGCCGAGGAGTCTCATCAATAATAATCTAGCAATCTGTCAGGGTCACGTCGGGCGCGGACACGTTTTCGTAACCCTCTGGCAATTTAGACGTTCCGCCAGATTTGATTTTCGAATAGGCACGCCGGCCAAGCCTTCACCCGTTGTTTCGATCTGCTAGTTCCACGCGCGTCAGAAGCAGCACGGTTGGCCCAGCGGCTCCAGCCTTCGAAACGAAACCTCTGCAAAAGGACAATAGGATGGGATGGAAAACAGCGGAATTACTGCCCCGTCACCAGGCTTCCTAGTCTTTTAGGTTTCTCGTCAATCTTGACTACCCGCCTGTCTCATTCCAACAGACATGAGCGAGGCAGCGGGCTGGCTGCCTCTCGAGCCCCTCCTCGATCTCCACGGTCGACTCGACAGATCTCGATTGGACAGCGCGTACCCGCGAGCGAGTCGTCTGTGTCACTGTCAGTGCTGTGCTGCTTGCCGATGTTGTTATTATACGCAGGCATGCAGTCTTATGGCCATACACTATTGCTGGTTTTGAGCATCTTTTATACTCAGCCCTAGACAAAATACCTTTTGCTGTCGTTGATTGTGTGTCTAGGTCAGGCAAGGTACGGACGGCGTGAGGGAAACTGGTTGAATCGGCAGTGTGTGAGGTTGCCAGGTCTTCTAGACACCCCGCCCCCCAAACGCCAGCATTCGTCTCCTCCACGATCGATAACTTTGGTCTCTGTATCGGCAACGACGCACTGATGACAATATGGAGGGCACAGAGATCGATCCCCATCAACTGCCCAGACGCCAGAGATGTGGTCAGTGCTGAGGCTGAAAATGATGAGGAGAGAAGGAAGGGCAGGGTGTGTGCAGCTCTGCTTGTCCAAGCTCTGCCCTCTGTCTCTCTCTCTCTGTCAAGGTATCCGTATCCTTGAGGTAGGAATGAATGAGAATGGGAGCTTGGAAGGAGAGGGAGGGGTGGGTGTGTTCCGTTCTAGGACTGGGTACTCCGTACACGTACAGACTGACAGAGTACGAAGTAATACGGGTAGGTACGAAGACGGGTAAGGTGGGCAGAATTTCCTCAATTTTAGCATGTGCTTGCAGCTCGCAGATATCACACACACACACATACGACGCTGCGGGCCACATCTGTTGCTTTCTTCTTTCTTTCTTTTTTTTTTTTTTTTTTTTTTTTTGCATTTTGCAATATTGACTCTATTGCAGCAGTTTTTATCCACTTGCTTGACTCGCGGCAGGCAAGTGGACAGACGGTGGATACTGTACTCCGTAGCAGAGGTTGGATACTGCGCAGGTACGGATAGACCATACGGATTACCTAGGTGCGCAGCTGAGAGAGAGCTCTGAGCTTCCGCCCAGCAGCTGTGGCCCACAGCGCGCCCAATCCAATCCGTCTGGCCGGTAAGACAGTTTGGATTTTGGGGGCCAAACGGGGGGCCAGGGGGAGGGGGAAGGGGGGTTAGAGGTAGGTTGCCGTCGTCTGCTCGCCCGGAAAGGGGACCGTCGGGTAACCTGGGCCCACGGGGGGTGGGCTATTGATAATACCTTGCTGCCAAACATGTTTCTCGGACTTCAGTCTTAATCGGGTCCAACTCTGGGTTGGAGACTTGGAGTCAGTCTCGTCTTGAAGTCGTTCTTGGAGGCTTTCTTGGGGTCGCCTAGCGCAGTAGACTGAAAGTATCATCTCCTTGGCAGCTCAGCAGGGTCTTCTTCGATTCAAGTACACTACTTAGTTCCCAGGTACGTTCGTATCTTTAAGTATTTGAGGTCTCTCACTCCATGTAGCCCGAATCCTATTTTCCCTTTCGAGATTGATATTTCTTTTATTGGTCAAGAAAGCCGAGTTTTTTTTTTTCTCTCTCCTGACTCTCGTTCTTTGCGTGGTATTTGATGAATTATTTATGAGGAAAACTCCCGTCTAACCCCTTCCCCAAACGCCCCGGAGCTCTGTCCCGGCCTTCGTCGAGCTCATGTTGAATGACGCCGGCCCGTACTGATATTATGCTTCGCTTGCTTCAATCCATTTCTGTTGTGCTGTTGAGGTTGACGTCCAGAAACCGTTCCTCGCCGATAAAAACTCCATGGCAAGCTTATTTTCTCCCTCTCTGTTTTGTCCCTCTGGAACTAGCTGCCTTCAGATCTCCATAGCCTACCGAGCCAAACCCGATCGTAACAGAGCTTCCACTTCACTCCAGTTGCTCCCAGCGTCTCTCACGCAGGGGCTTCTCTTTGCCGGCCGCGGCTCTGCTGCCCTCTTTCTCTCCCTTCCACGCCCAGTACTCGGCGAGGCGCGTCTCCGCATACGAGGCGTAATCAAAGTCGATCTCCGAGATGACGGCTTGGATCAAAGCCCAGATGCCCCAGTAGAATCCCGGCACGCCACGGAATAGGTCCACCTCATGTGTGAGCTTTCGGACCTCCGCCTCGATATCAACATTTGTGTTGTTCTCGGAGTACTTGTAGAATGAGCGAATGTACTCCTCAATGAACTCTCGACGCTGGGACTGGGTAGGCATGAAGTTGTAGTCGCAGTCGAATCCACCCCACTCGGCCAAGTGATTGGCGATATCGAAAGCGGCTGGTGACGGCGTGGCATATTCGTAGTCGATGAACGTCACTGTGGCTTCCTTCTTGGGGCCTTTGGCGGGCTGGGTACTCGGTAACACGATCACGTTGCCGCTCAACAAATCGCAATGGGCAAATACTAGCTGTTACGAGATAACCATTAGCAACTATAGAGAATCCTGGCGGCTCTATATGACTTACGCCATCAACACCTAGGCCAGGGCGTTGGCTGAACTCCTCCACAATGTATTCAAACTCCTTCTGAAGCTTGTCTTGTCTCTCCCTCTGGACCTGTGTATCGCTGGGCAGGGCCAAAATCCATTTTTGCATCACTGACCATAGGTTCGGCACCGGCTTCCCAGGTGCCGCGTTCTCGATGATGGCGTTCAGGTCCTGATCATGGCCCTTGGCATTGCCATTGGTAGACGTCTGGTGTGTAATGCAGGGCACAGTGGCGTGCCACTGCGCTAACCTGCTGGCGACGGCTCGATAGATGTTTGGCTTTCTCAAGTCCTCCGGTGCTGTGACGCTGCCCTTGATAAATCGGTAGAGCATGCCATTCTGGAATCGGGCGAGCAATTCAGGGGCAAGGCCGTGCTTCATGAGTAGTTCATGGTTCTGAGCTTCGCGCTCGCGGTCGATGAGGACAGCGGTTCCATTTCCATACGCGCGCAGCAAGATGGCCTCTCTGCCTATATCCTCCTTGGACCAGCCCTTTCGCTTGTTGATGGCTTTGAGTAGGGTATTGGTGATGCCGTCGGTGAAGCGAACGAATTCGATGTTGGAGTCGTCGGAGGCCCAGTCTGGTCGAACAGTCAGGATTAGACTAGTCGCAGATTGCTGAGAGTCTTCGCTGTCGTAGAAAAGGGGAAGTGTTCGGACATGGGGTAGCGCTGACCCGTTAGGGTGGCCGTTGCTTGCACCTTGGGTCATGATTTGACCGAAGGGATGAGCGAACTACGTGGGCGAAGGAAGGGATGGGTATGTCGAAAGGGCAGGGACAATACCGAAGAGGTCGATAGCTGGATGAGGAGGCCCCTGTGGAATTCGGCGGTTTATTCAGTCGCTGGTGTTGTGCGACCTTGGCACTTTGGATGATGGCAGAAAGGGGCTTACGGCGGTCTGCAAGACGTCAAGGGGTAGCGAGGATAGCGAGGCTATTCAGGAGAAGAGAGGAGAGGTGCAGAAGGCTATGAACAAAGCGAGATACGGATAGTAGTCGGTCGATATGTTGGTGGTTCAGGTGTGTAGGAAGAAGAAGCGGGAGTGGGAAGAGAGGAAGGTGGGTATTGTCGGATTGATATTGGGAAAAAGATGAGGGACGAGGGGGTACTGGGTTGGGATTGGCGCCGTCGAGAATAATGGTGGCCGAGCACGAGACCTTTTTCCTTCCTCGTGCGGATCCCCCAAGGTATGAAAGAAAAAGGTAGTATCTTTTAGGGAGTACCCAAGTGGTAGGTGGCAGTGGCTCTCGGAATGATGTGGTGCGTTTGGTGGTTTAAAGTGAGATTCGCGTTGGGGAAATTACGGTATGTGCGAGTGGCTAATCTTCTTTTGTCGTCGGTCAACGAATCGAGGAAGAAAATCAGAAGGAAGAAGGGAGGATTGTGGACACTGGACAGAGACACAGAGAGACACAGAGACTGAGCGAGAGCATGTGAAGAAGGTGCAGAACAGAGCAACTTCCCACTTTCCACCTTCCAGGGACCTTATGGATACCGCACTCACAGAACAAGCCAATTACCTCGTGCCTTGCTCAACTTACGACCGCCACATGAGTGGGCCTGCCTCTATGGTGTACCTTCCCTTTCTCCCAGACCCCCAATTTCACCATTAGTTTCCTGGGTGTATGCGCGTACTCCGTACGGACACAGCAAAAGAGCTTTAGATGGAGCAGATTTTCAATCTTCATGTTCAGGGTCTCTCTGAGCGGGGGCAGTGCCGCAGTGGGAACCCGTTGTGATTGGGGGGCCGGGGCGCTCCCGCGGGCGCTTTTTTCCCAACAACGCCTCCGCTAGCAAGGACAGACCTCAAGCAAACGCTCAATCTGGACTGACTTTGCCCTTGTTTGTTGGCCTTGTCTCTGTCTCTGCACAGGACGCAGGACGCGTGGCACGAGCGTCACGGCATGGGCACCGAGGAGAAGGAACCAAGGTACGCTGCTGTCCATCTGTTGCTCATACCTTACGTAGTCTAAGGTACCTTACCTGCCTTAGGTACCTAGGTACTCTGTGAGCTATTCGTGATTAGATAGGAAGGCACGAGGAAATGGATGGGGGTCCGAAACCACAACGACTGAGAGGCGCCCTTACCGTCATTGTTGCCTCTCTTTCCCCAAGTCCTGTTCCCCTCCCCCTCCACACCTGGGGCTATTGGATGGTCTACACTAAACCCGTACCATAAGGTACCTACCTTACCACAAGCATTGGGTTCTTTCAAGAGTCCATAACAGTGGCATCCAAGGGTCTAAGGTACCTACCTTACCACAAGCATTGGGTTCTTTCAAGAGTCCATAACAGTGGCATCCAAGGGTCTTGCAGCTGCTCGGCAATGCAGTGCGACAGCCACAACGGCCTGACGAGCCTGGATTGGATCGTAGGACCCAGCTGCTGAACCGTCTCAAGAGTTTCCCCTCATTCTGTCCATCCAATAGTTGTTTCCGATGCCCAGGAGCCATGCCGGAAGTTCGTCATCGTTGGAGCTGAACCTAATGTATCCGTAGAGCACCACCACCACCATCACCTTCTCTGGGAGCTTTTACCTACAATACCTATGTACCCGTCCCTTTCCCCAGTCATGATCAGCGCGGAAACCCGTATCGACTCACCATCTGTACAATGCAACTTCGCGTGACGATGGTTGTGCCTTTACTATGTACTGTTCAGTGAATCGGGGTCGGGAGCTAATTTCGCCATGCAATGACCGTTCGTTTCGCAGCCGACCGTCGCAGAGGCGCATTCCCTTGATGCACCTTTATCTTCATTCAAGCCACAGGCTGAGGGCTGCCTACCTTAGGCTGCCCTAGAAGAGGGCTCACCGACTCTGTGTCTCTCGTCTCCTGCAGTCTAATCAAGTCCAGCCCGTCCTGAGCATCCTGATCGCGAACTGCAGTCGGGTGCCGTGTCTCATCTTTTGCTTCGAACCGTCTACCTAATACCTACGCATCCTCAATTCCCTAAACGAGCCACACCTCTGGCTTAAAACTTATCTCTCCAACCAAGGACATGCGATAGCGAAAGGTTTTAGCTCGCATTCTCGCATTAGGTACCTTAGGAGAAGCCCCGTGAACCGTTGATGGACTGAGGTCTGACGGGGCTTGCCGGTTGTCCGCTCCTCACGCCTGCCTCCAGCCGAAACCTTGAGAGCCTCAACCCCACCTTGAAGTGCCGTCGAGGAAGGTGACGGGGCCAGACCGGCGGTGCTCGGACCACCTTGCACCTTCCGGTGGCTGCTGGGCCGTTTGTACGGATACGTACCGCGGACATTAACCTCTATTGGCTGTGCTAATCGACTTCCTACGATCCAGCCACCATCCTCACTCAACCTCGGGCTTACTACAGCAGATCGCATCGAACCCGCGACCTACCTCATCCCATCTACGGTCCAGCCACGACAAATAGCCGCATGTACTACTCTCGCCCTGCTGGTCTGAGTCCCATGGAATGCGGACTGCCCAGTTCCTCTGGCGCATCAATCCAAGCCCAGGTTTTGTCGACTCTCATTGCAACACAGCCGCCACAGTAAGGACTTGTGAGTGATGATTGCCGGGCACGGCACCGTTGACATCTTGGAGCCCTTGACTGCCCTGTCATAAGCTTTCACAACCGCCATTGGATCTCTTATCGCTTCCGAAATGGCGCCGCCCGTGCTCCCGAATCCGTCCAATTTCTTGGCCGTAGCGCTGGTCATCAACAGGTCTCGTGATGGTCCCAACTTCGTCTTCCATTATCCACCCACTGTCTTGCCGCCCAACGCGCAGTCCAAAAGTCACGAGCCAGCCGATGGCTCGGCCGAGTATGATGATATCTTACTGGAGCGTCTTAACGCGCCCGGCTCAGCATCCCTCGACTCCGATGCTAACGCCGACGAGCTTCAACAATGGACTGCCGGAGATGATCACTTAATCACCGAAGATGGTACGCAAATCGTCCCATGGGAGCATGTGGCTGGGTTTCCCACCAAAGATCTCGCTAGCATTCTGACGCCAGGGAGAGCGTATCACAAGAAGCTCTTCCAACTCTCTCTGGACCCTTTATTCTGTGTTTCCTATCCCATCCACGTCCCCGAGAGTGGGACGTGGAAGAAGAAAAAGAAGAACAAGAAGGCCAAGTCAGAGAGATCCAAGTCTGTCCGTACGGAGGAATCAGCGGTATTTGTCGACTTCGACCCAAATGAGGATAACGAAGATGCCCCCAATGGCGCCGAGGCGTCGCAAAATGATGCCAAGGAGGAAGAACAACCCCAGCAAGACGAGCCTGACGACAAGCGGGCGTCTATGACTATGTTCAATCTGGTGTTCTTTCTGAACCCGAAGAAACATGAGGCCAAAGAACTCATCGAGACACTCTATCTCAACATCATTAAGAAGATCAACAAGGCATTTAAATACTGCCAGCAGCGAAGTGAATTCGTGTGGAAAGAGTCGAAACGTATCTCAGCCCTGAAGGACAAGGGACGAGAAGATAGTAAGTCAGGTTACGGGGCACCATCGGATAACAGGTGCTGACATCAATACAGGGCGTAAAATGAGTCTGCTATGGGACGAGATTCTACAAACATCATCTCTCGCAGCTGCTGTCCAAGACATCTACGAGGCCGTCTCCCAGAACAAGATTGCGGCCCTTCAGCTCGACACAGCACTGGGCCCAGTCACGCCTTCTGTGCAGATTCCCGTGCCGTTTTACGTCACGGACTTGCACAACTATGGACAGACAGAACAGAGAGGCCTCTGGCTAACGACTGCCAATTCATTCATCGGCGAAGATACCCTAGACGAACCCGGTTTCTTGGACCGCAACTTTGCCCTCTTGCTGATGGGCGACGAGAAGAAGATCATTGCCGAATTACAGGCAGATTTGGATCCGAGTACTGTAGCCATGGTCGAGTTCGCCCGACTGTCGAAGCCAACGCAATCGTAAGTGGTGAAAGCCCTCCAAGACCCACCACATACTCGTGCTAATGCTGGTTCAGTTTCTATCAAGTAGGCCAGAGCAACGTCTTGACTTTGAGCCAGGTGCGTAAGTACGCGCAACACTTCATATTCTGGCGGCGTGCTATCGCAATCCCACCCCTCCATGCCCGTGACACATACATTATGTCGCCGAACTGCGACACCCGCAACCTCTCCAGGGCAAGCCTCGAGTGGCAAAAGACGTTCCCCCTCGCACCGCCGCTCACCAACTTCCTCGCCGAGTTATCGTACGCGCCGAGGTCATATAAACACTACTGCCCGAGTAAAGCTCATCGGCCCACGTACCTCGCTATGCTCGCGTGGCTCATGCGTGGTGCATGGGTGACTCAACTGTGCACATTCGCTTACGTTGTTGTCTGGCCCGAGATAATCTACGAAGTCGAGCACAAGCTAGAAAGCGATGAATTGCGCAAGGCCGAGGATACTTCCTCCCTCAGTACCAGCAACCCACTGAGTAGCTCAGCAATCGATGCGGCAGACGGGAAGTCTGAGGCAGGGAGCAGCAGTGGCGGCAGTGGAAGTGGCGGTTTCGGCAGCGGTATCGCGGCCTACATCCCGTCGCACATTGAGCAAACGGCAGAAAAGGCACGCCTAGAACGTATAGCAGAGAAGACGCAGCGAGAGGCGGCCGAAAAGGCCACGGCGCACGCGCGCAAGTTACCGCCCATGGCGACGGATCACCCCTCAACCAACGAGGCGCCGCATCTGGCGCGAATGCCCCCCTACATCATCGTAGATGCCAAGAAGGCGACGGGCAAGGAGTCCCTCTACCTCGCGGCCATCGGCAAGCGATTCAAGGATCCCAAGGTCGCCAAGGCGTGGCAGGCCATGTGGAAGTATTTCAACGGGCAAACAGCACTGGAGAGGATCGCGTTGCAGGAAGACATGAAGCGTAAGGAGGCATGGAACCTGCTGACGGCGATGAGCGAGCATTTGCTGTGTGTGAGGCACTGGTAGGCGTGTGGTCACTTGCACGTCATCACATGTAACGAAGAACGAAGAGGTTTCGAGGGACAACTCACGATACGCTGACTGAGAGTCTCGGACATGGGGAGAGCATGAGAAAAGCATGGATAGAGAGATGAATCGCGGCACTGTGCTAGTCTGGTCACGTAGAAGAATATACGGCAGGCCAGCCGTTCATACGTCGTGGAAAGAAAGGGAGGGTATCATTGTATGTGTGCGGGAAAATGAGGCAGCAAGCAGGTGGAAGCTACTTTCCCCTGACATGCCAAACGCCAAATGGACACGCGAAATCTGGAAGATAAATCACGCCAGGGTACAACCAACCAACAAAACCGAAGGCATCCCAAGCAGATGTGTTGAACCTGAGACTGCGTGTAAGCATTGAGAGAAGAGATTTGTAGGAATAATTCCAGGACAGGGAGTAAGAACAATTGTGGGGGAAAGATTGCCTGAAAGATATTGAACCCGCGAACCATCCCCAATGCCCGCCCGCCTTGCGAATTAGAGATGACCTTAGAAGAAAAGAAAAGAAAAGAAAAGACCATGTGCAATGCCCATCCGAACCCAGAGGTATCACGTCTCCCAGTAGATGATGATGATGCTTGTAAACCCAGAAAACAGAAACGAAAATTGAAACCTTAAAAACCCAAAACAAAACCCCGAGCCGGCTCGACCAAACCACATCTCATTCCTCCACGTTGTGCTTCACTGGCTGTTGGTAAGCCTTTGGCCGCCCATATCACTGGAAAAAGAGACCTCTCAACGCCGTCGCCCACCGAAATCCTTAACCGCTCCAACGCGCTTGGATGCAACAAAGATACCATGGCTGCGCGAATGCATAAAAAGAGCGGGAACTTGAAAGGAGAAGATGACCACAGTAGGATCAGAATGAAGAAGACGGGGAAATCGTCATGGGTTCTAACAGTCCGTCCTACTGTGTCAGGTCCATGCCGAACTCGTCTTCCTCCTTGAAGTTCAGCGAGGTCGGACCACTGTCGTCATCATCCGGATCGTTCCAAAATTCGCTGCCGGCGTTAAGATCGTTGGCGAGACCGGTGCCGTTGGTAGCGCCAGGGCTGACAGAAGTGCCGTCACCAACATTGCCCGAGCCATTCATAGGCTCGCCGCGGAAGTCGGTGTGATGGGGTACCCGAAGACCAGACCCGGTCGTGCGAGAGTATCCTGGGACTTCGTTCTTGGAGATGGCTTCCATCAACTCGGTTTGCATACGCTTCTCATCCTCAGTGAGCTCAAACGGAAAATGGCCGCCGAGTTCCGCAATGGCGTTCATCAACTCCTCCTGCTGCTGCAACTTCAGATGCAACATCCACATCAGATCTCTCGTCCAGCTGACTGCGCCATTCAAAATGTCTCCCTTGTTGGGGCCCTTGTCCTTGTCCTCGAGGGGGAGGCCGGTCGTGATATTGCCTGTTGCGCCAGCTGCGCGGCGTGCGCCGGGACCAGCAAGGCCCGAAGTGGCCTGAGAGGGGTTGGAAATGCCGGACAACGTAGGCGAGAGCGGGGTGCCGTTCTGGATCATCTTGCGGATCTTCTCATCCTCCAAACGGTGGGCGGGAACTAGTCTGCTGAGATCTTGGATTCTCTCGTTGATGTTGTCTCTGCGGCGTCGCTCGACAAGGTTGTGTGATTCCCGACGCCGCTTGCGCTTCATCTCTTGAGAGGAAACCGCACCACCGGGCTGAGCCCCCAGCTTTGCGGGCATCGACGTGCCACCCTTCATCATGACCTCGTTGAGCTGAGCGAGGCCGGGTTGAATAGGCGACGAGAAGCCAGAGCCATATGACGCCGCCATGCTTCCCGATGGGGTCTGCATCCACTGACCTCCTGATGGTGATTTCTCATGCATGCCTTGGGCCCGGATGGATTGAGGACCGAAGCCAGTTGACTCCTGGGTCGCCATGGGTACCGAGTGCATTGCTGACTTAGGAGTCATGGGGCTGCGAGTGTTGGAAGATGAGCTCTTCCGTTGCATAGCTTGTGCCATTCTGGCTCTGTTCTTAGCGTTGAGGTAGTTGGTCTCGGCAGCATCACCAGTGAGGTCCGATCCAGCCAAGGGCGAGCCCGAGTAGGAGATGGGAGACTGAAGCGACGTGCCGAGGGCCTGACGGTGGTGCATCTGGGCGAATCCCGAGTTGTTGAAGCTGTGCACGAAAGGGCTTTGAATGGGGTCACCATCGGGGGTGTTGGAGTAGCCGTTGATGTGGTTTTGGTCTAGACCATGATGAGAGCCGTATATGGGTTGATTGAAGCCCATATCCATGTTTGACATTCCGCCACCAAAGTCCTGGCCGTGGCCATGTAGCGGCTGTTCGGTCGGACTTCCGAGGCCGTCGAGTAGCTCATCGTCTCCGAAGAGGGCAGAGCCGCTCGAAAATCCATTCGTGTTTCCCGAGTTGGAGTTGTAGTTGTTGGAGTAGGATGATCCATAGTTTCCGCCCATGGCCAAGTCGTTGGGATCGATGCTGCCGCCACCACCTCCACCGTGGCCACCGTTGAACTGGCCGAAGCCGTGCTGTGCCATTGTGTGTACTGTTGACACGACGTTGATTTGAATCCGCCTTTAGGATATGCTGGATCGGCGATGATGCGAGGTCTCGCTGACCTTGTAGTGCTCACACCGCCTCTTTCGTCAAGAAGTGCAGTGACAGGCTGCGCTGTGATGCTGGAATGATTGGAGAATGTTTGACTCGGAGAGGTTAGAGCTGTAGTGAGTCGACTCGTCAGCGTTGCGACCGAATATGATAATGAGGTTGCGCAAATCAAAGGTGCTCCGAGGTTCGCTGCGCGCAGGTTTGCTTTCCTGTCGGACAGGCACGAACCGGGGACTGTATATGCGGATATTCTCCGCACAGGCGCAGGCAGTTTTGAACGCCACCTAGGCAAAATAGGCAGGGAGAGCGAGCGGGAGAGGAATGCAAGTATGGGGAGGAGGGCGCGACCAAGGCAGGACTGACTCACCGAGCAAAAGGGAAAATGCCGGGAATATGTAATGTTGTTCGACAGCACACAAAACCGTTGTTACACGGCCATTCACTGCAGTGATATGGAAGGTGCGGGGATGGCGTCCTAAGTAAGGAAAGCCGGTGTCGTAGATGGTAGCGAGGCGAAAGGCGGTTAAGAGGGGGGCGTGTGTGTGTGCGCGCGAAAGAGACTGAGAGTGCAAGAGTGTGGGAGTAAGCGAGGCAAGGTTTGCGATCTAGGTCGGCTGTCGCATAAGTGTATAAAGACGAGCAGGAAATCGCTGCCTGTTGGTTTGCAGGAGCTGAGACAAGCGATAGAAGACCAAGTGTTTGTCGAGTCTTGGAGTGAGGTGAAGGAGGAGAAGGAGAAGATTGAGAGAGTTGAGTCTTGACAGGTTGCGATGGAAATGCGGTGTCGGGGAGTCGGGGGTTTGTAGTGTGGTGCGCAGGCGGTGCGATGCGGGCCTGCGGGTGAGCGAAAGTAGGTATGAGTAAGAAGTTGGTGTAGGAGCCTCGGGGCTGGGCGCTACGACTGCACTGGACTGGGCTGGGGAATAATTAGTTTAGGACTGTGTTGAAGGAGAAGGACGTGTGTAGTGTCAAGTATTTGTTAAAGTGCACGATTATCCGTACATGGGAGGGGTGCTAAGGAAAGCCCATGCGGGAGACCGATGCCAGACGCCGAGGGCGAGGGCGGGGGAAGAGGCGAGGGGTACCCAAGTACCTTGTACTTAAGGTACCTTAAGGTGAGTAAGGTAAGGTAAGGTAAGGTAGGTTTGGGGGAAAGAAGAATCGGGGACGGGGACGGACGGGGACTGGGATTGGGGCTGGGGAGGGCCCTCTTCGGCTTCACCTTACCTCTACCAAAGCTGTGGGGGAGCGAAAAGGTAAAGCTCGTGTCGGTGAGTTATCTTTGGTTGGTAACGGAGGTGCAGCGTCTGTTGCGTCTGCTCAGGAAATAAAAAACGGGACGCGTCCGCTGCAAGGGAGGTTAGAACACCTCTGCTGGAATGAATACGGATACTTTTGACGGTGTGAAGCACGCCTCAAGGCTTGGGTGATCCAGGCCCAGAGACAAGGGGTCGTGAAGGGGTTCACAGCAGGCAGGGTTTGCCAGGATGGGACAAGACAACTTGTGGTTCAGGACCTCGAGGTGTGCTTGTGCTATCGAGCATGACATGTCTGCAGTCCGGTCCGTGGGCCGAGGGGCGAAAAGGGAATAAGAGCAACGCGAAGGAGAACGGACGAGGTGCAGTGCAGTGATGGGACACGGATGCTGACTTACAGAAGAATATGGGTGGTGGGTGATATTCACCCAGGGCAGTCTCCCGACTTTACACGGTAGCTGTTGTTCCTTTCGAGAGGTGACGAGAATAACGCTTTGGCTCGGCTTTCCGTCTGACGCTTGACGTTGCACAAGAAGGAAATAGAGGTGAGAGTGAGGATAATGGTGGTGGTGGCGGAAAGGAGCTCTTGTCGATAGAAAGAGAAGGGAGGGGTCCAATACCAGGAAAAGATGGTGTGCTGATTTCTTGGTATTGCTACCGTACTTGGCGCTGCAGATGCTTGCTTCCTGGTCTGCTTGCTTGCTGTGAAGTGCCCACTATTATAGGTAGGCGGGATGGCGGATTGAAGTATTGGTGGTGACACTCGAGAGTGCGTGAGAAAGTGCGACGGACGAAATGGGTTGCCGCCGGTTCGGACGGATCGGGGACAGGTGGAATTCTTTACTGCGGTGGTTGTCGGACCCTGTACAGTGACAGTCGACTGCTTGGATTTGGGCCAGTCAGATATGATATCCGCAACACAGGAGTGAAAGGAACAAGAGAGGTAGAGAAGAGCAAGTGAATGGATGCGATGCAAGGAGAGGGAACGGAAGAGGGCGGGTATGCCATGTATAATAAATGTGTGGCGGAAGAAGCGGCTGTGAGGCTGAGTCGTGGAATACAACTCAACGAGGGGGGTGAGGAAGGCTACATTATAAGGAAGGGAAGGGGATTGGAGGATGCGCAGAGTAGTGTACCAACCTTGCTGAGGAGAAGGTGTAGGGAGTGACGAAGTATGTCTTTCTCTCTGGATCTTCAACGCAAAAAGACCTGGCGGTTAGTTTGGATAATGTCTGATGTGAAAGTAAAGTGGCGTTTACTCACTTGAATAGGTAGTTCCCGGAAAAGCGGTGCGGTTGACGTGCAGCGGTTTCTGGGGTCTCCTGTAATTGTTGGTTGGGGGCGGTTTTTTGGGAGTGTTTGTTCCAGGTAGGACGAAATGATTCCTCCGTGGGGAATGCGGCCTGTGTGCGGGTACACCGTAAAGGTCCACGGGTGCGACTGGAGAGTTGGAGAAGTCTGCAGAGGAGAAAGGGCCAAGATGGCGGTCGGAAACCGGCTCGGAGTGGTAGTGGGCGATGATCCCTGTCGATCGCTAGATGCGCGTCTTTTCGCACACTGCTAGGGCGAAGGTGAGGTTGGTGTTCGTAGTAAGGTAAGATATATCGGGGTAGTGTCGTAGACACAGATGTTATTTCTTGCGTGGAAAAGCAGGGAACAAGACAGTGTCTCGATCAAGATAAGGCACTAGGAATAGGCAGGCAGAATGCGTTGCCTTAGGTTCTTTCCAACTTGCTTTGGAGAGGTAAGGTAGGTACAGAGAATAGTACAGAGTACTTGTCTCTCGAAATAGGACCTACTGCGTAAGTGGGTTGGTTGCTGTCGCTCCAAGTGTCGCCGTTCTTTGCTGGCGCTGTAGGCAAAATTAAGTTTCGGCCTGCCGATGTCTGGAGCAAAGCTCCCGGTCGGTCCAGAAGAAAAGAAGGATCAGGGTCGTCGGCGAGACGGACTCAACGTGCTCCTCTAAGAAAAAGACCGGAGTGAGAGCTCCCCGAATTGTCGACGCCGTTGCGCAGGGGTTTCGGACCCGGCGGCTTGGGAAATCTTGGATAACTCGCGCAAACGTATTCGGGATCACTAAGCAGTGACCAAGTTTACGTTCAAACGTTCCAACTTTCCAGAGATCCCGGGCGGTGATGTCCGACTCTGTGCAAGGTAGGTATCGTCTACTTGCTTGTCTCTTTGCTCTACTATCCCAGCGTCTAGGTCGGTGCTGATAAGTTGCGATGGTGAGCCTGTATTGGTACGAATGAGAGCGTTCCTCCTGTGTCTTGTATCGATGGTCTGTGCGTCGGTGAGTCGAGGTAAAGGTAAGGAACTTTGGGGCCTCTGATGCATTGGTATTGGGTATTGGGTATTGAGTCCGGATCTCGGCTGGTTGTTTCTGTCCTCCCTTGTCAACTCTTGTTTCCCTCTTGGGTCCTGTCTGTTCTGTTTCGTTTGCCAATTCCCAGAACGGGGCATCTCCACCTACCTCCTCTTGATTTGTGTTTTCAACGTAACTCGAGAGTCAAGATTCGGTCGTTTCTGTTGTTTGAGGTTGTGTTTGCTCAATCGTTTCCTCTTCTCTTCTTTCCTCTTCCTTTCTCTCTCTCTCTGTTGTACAGAGGGAAACGCGCTAGCATTTATATCAAGGCTGCGTTCTATTAACAGACACAACTCCGTAAATCATCTGGATGAGGCTTGTCACTTCACTTGCATCTCCTGACTCGTCCCATATTCCGGGGGTGGCACCCCCATTCTATCCTCACCGGGACGTTTTGGCAGCCTCTTGGTCCGAGTCGGGATAAGATGGAGGGCAGCCCGGACCCCGTGATGCCTCCAAGTCAGACGGCTAAGACAACTAACGCACCTACTGGACCCGCACCGGCCGCGACGACTCACGACGCTCATCGGGACCTGCTTAAGGATCGGCAGGAATAAGGTGGTCATGCACATGAAATGTCTAGCTTTCCCTCAAAAGAAGACATCACGAACTCATGTAAAACTGGGCTGCTCCATGGCTCCTAGACTGCCCGGCCAGGAACCCGAGGCCAGAAACGCCCCAGAATGCCCTTGGCTTAGATATGGGATTCTGTCTCATTTCGCATCGCCTTGTTTAGAAACCAGTTTTCGATTCATCCCGCAGAACACCTTACCCATGGCGCTCATGGTCCATGGCTGGCTCGACTCCTAGTTGGACGATATAGCTCTAGAGCCCTGCGCAAACCCCGCCAGCAAACACATTCCTACTGGGAGAAGCCTTGTCGACGCCCAAGATGTCGGCTTGTTGGCATTCAGATCAGGCATGGAAGGGAGAGCTCTTATCCGCGAATCTGAGATATCACACCAGGTCGATGCAAGACTCGTGTGTGCCAGAAGCTTGGAAAACTCGCGACATCTGGAACGGGTGCAAACATCTTCACCGCCTCGAACCATTGCCTTATCGCCTTCTGCCTCGACTATGACTCGCTTAACAGAGAGACAAAGAGCCTGACCGCCGTCTGGTCGCATACATTGATATCTTGGGTATATCCCGTTTGGGGTAGCACACACACATGCACACACACACACACACACACACATACTCATGCCTCTGTCTGGCAAGCACCTTAGACAATCGAGAGGCCGCCGCTGTGATGTCAAGGGATCTCGAGCCTTGTCCCCTGTGGCGTACACATACTGTGTGTAACTTGGGCTCTTGACGCAAGATACATGCGAATTTGGTTCAACATCTCAAGAGTATCGTGATTAGATGGGCGGCGCCAGCGGCAGTGACAAATATCCCAAACATTGTCTCCCAAGCGTTTTACTCCTCTCCAGATCATCACCACCACCATTACGGCATAATAGGACGAATATCTGCTGGGAAAACCCACCCCTGGCCAAGATGTGATCGCCCGCTCCGCAGTGAGTGCCGGCGGCAATCCTACCCCAAGTGGCCTTTACCTACTCGATGCGGCCTCGACTTTCCCCCTCCTGCACGGCTACCAGCAGAAAGTCTCAGAGCTGCAGCCGCACTGTATCAACGACGTAAAAGATGGTGAACCTGTCAGAATGGCGGTTCTTGCGCCAATGTAAAGGTTGCAAAGTGCCTCTGGAAGGTCGGGTCGGGTGTGGAGTAGGGGAAGGCTTCCAATCATGTGCTGCCGATTAAGGATAAGAATGACCTTGTGGACCCACCCAGACTCTGAGGAAATGGAACTGGATGTTCTCGAGTGTGTCGAGGTCTCAAGGTGAGTGTGTGGTGAGGTGCTGAACCAGAAATTCGATAACGCTGGTGGCTGTGTTGGTTGGCTGAAAGCCCGGATTTCGGGGGATCATGGGTACGTACTTCCAGCCGACAGGTGGTCTGTGTGTCCGGGGAAGGATGCAGCCGCTGATTGGCCGGATTCAACCGCACCTGGTACACCTGCGCTGCTTCGCTCTGAGACATTCTCAAGCTCACCCTGCCTTGCTTCTTCTGCCAGACTGCCTCGCTCTCAACCTCCGTCCCGTTCCATCACCTCCCCACCCCCTTCATCAAGCTATCAACCTCGTGTACCAGCCGCCTTAGCCCCCCTCCATCCTCAGGCCGTTGGCCGTTTGCCTTTCTGCCTTCGCCTTCGTCTTTGCGTCTGCCTCCAAGACTTACGTTATTACGACACGGTGCGGTACGCGCGGACACTAGGCCACCACCAAGAGATCAAGACCAGCCTACGTCGCATCACAAATCGAACAGGTGGTCTCCCAATAGCCCACCTTCTTGTGCACATTTAATCGTATGCATCTTCCGACCCTCCCCCTCCATCATTGACCATGACCCTGTATATCACCCAAGCTGACCATCTTGGCTGTGGAGAAGCAGCTCGACAACCGTCTTCCTGACGCTCATCTGCCGCGCTATACCAGTCATCTACTCCCGTGCTCTCCCAGCACCTTCGACGGAGGCCACCCCGAAATCGCTCTCCGCCCAATAGCAACCTTTCCGCAACCCGACTCCGAGCGGGCTGCCCCCGATACTGTCAAGGGCCACCTGTCACTTGACCACATACTGCTCGACGCACAGAGAGGACGCTCCCGCTCTTGCGTGCATCTTTTGCTACTTATCTGGTTTCCGCGGGAGTAACGACACCTGCGTCTAGCACGTCATAGTTGCATCTCTCGGCTCCCATATCCCACCGTTACGATGGCGTCCGCTTCTTTCAGAGACTCGATGAACTCCCTGGGTTGGTCAAGACGGGACCAGGACGTGCCCGTCAATACGGCGCAACAGTCCGGCCTCATGTCTTCGATCAAGTCTCTCAACCCCTTTGGAAACAACAGCTATATCCAGCTCCCAACAACCGAGGGCGCCGGCGCGCCCCTGCCTGCTGCCAACAGGAGGGAAGAAGAGGAGGGCTTCGCAACGCGTGAGTCATTTCGTCTGTGTGCTTTCGCCGTCCCACCACCTCTGGCAGCTTCATCCTTGAGCTCCCAGCTCCCCTGCAACTGGCATGGCCTCTACTTGTGGATTTCCCATGTCTCGGATTGCCATGTGAGCAGGCGGGCTTACGAGGTGGTGTTGTCGTGTCCGCTCCATCTTCTCCGGAACAGCCATGCTAACGTTGTATATTCCACTTCCAGTGAGTCGATGGGATCGTTTGCTCATTTTTGGTGCCTGTAACCTGGGCGCCCTCGCCTGCTTCGTCATCTGCTTCGCCTTGTTCCCGGTAGTAGCGGTGCGGCCGCGCAAGTTTGTGATTCTGTGAGTTTCCACGCTCCCTTTTCTCTCTACCCTCTGCCCTTTGCCTCGTCGTAAGCGATTCTGCTCTCTTCCGTACTTCCGTGGAGGATCACCCCACGGGTGCTTATCAACCCGGCTAGTTGCCGGCGCGGCAGATCGACAAAGGGGTGTTTGGATCGGTACCTATTGTGCCGTACCCGAATGTAGCCTTGCCCCTTTCTATCTACCCGCCTTTCATGCCAGATGATCTTGCATGGCGAGCTAGTTATGAGCACCTTATCCGGTGATCGAACGGCGTGATGAGGACTCTCGGAGGGCTTAGCGTTGATACGGCGTTCGCGTTCGCCATCTTCGAGTCGCGTACCTGTTGCTAACATTATCATCTTCCCAGATGGACACTTGGCTCCCTCCTGTTCCTGGCGTCCTTCGCGGCCGTCATGGGCCCGATGGCGTACGTGAAACACCTTGTCTCCGGCCAGCGTTTGCCTTTCACTGCTGCCTACTTTGGATCGCTTGGGCTTTCCATGTACTTCTCTCTCGGTGTAAGTTCCATGACGTTGTCATCATTACGAGGCGAAAGCACGCCGGCTGACTCCGACATAGCTTCACAGCACCATTTTGACCTTGATCTCGGCTGTCATCCAACTGGCTTGCCTTGTTTGGTACCTAGTCAGCTACTTCCCCATGGGCTCGAGTGGACTGCGCCTGGCCACCACGTTTGGCGCCAGAAGGGCTGCTGCCTGGATGACGGGCTGAGCTTGGAGCTCTCATGTACACCTTGTAAGATGAAGACGAAAAATGATTATGGATGATTGTACCACGGTAGCTAGTCGGCATTGTTCTGCTGTTTGCATATAGAGTGGGCAAATAAGAGTATCGAAATAAGGCAGATGTCGAAATGTAGTTCACGTAAACGTACCACATAGTCCGGGCGTTCGCCTGCACTCGTAGCCGCACCCACTCGCCATTAATAAGAGAGGCCATGACTTTGACCTGAATCGGTCTCTCAGACCTGGTATGATATTCTAGGTATGCTCCGGGCACGATCATCTAATCTTGTTCTCCATCTGGGATCTTGAGTCCCATCTACAGCCTTTCCCCCGGCTTACGTCGCCAACTCCTCTATAATCACAGGACATCAACCCTTCCAGTGAGGAGTCCTCACACTCTTGAAGAAACCCGGCATCGTTTGATCACATACGCAAGTTCAACTAGGGGCATCGTGTTCCTTCGGGGGCTAGATTCCCTCTTCGGCTTGAAACTTCGTTTTTTTCGCCCGATAGATTTTTGTCTCGGTCAAGATATTCGAGGTTATGAATCATCTCGATCATTCGTCGTGATCATTATAATGGTAAACAGTGGCGCATTCATTCTACAGTCTACTCACGAAAGCCTTTGTTTTTCTCTGCCGGGTGCTTCATGAACGATGGCCATCGAGTGACTATCTCTCCACATCGGAAAGACGCATAGTCTTGTTCTAGCTTGAGTTGACCATCAAGTCTGAACGTGAAGATTGGCCACTTGCTGGCTATACACGCCCACCTCGCATGGTAGCAGTCTCGGTGGAACGTCGTGGGACTAAGTCAGGAGTGAGCTTCACTTGCAAATCTTGACTCTCGACTTGAAAGACCAGGAACTATGTAGCATTTTAGAAAGATCGCAAAATTCCGGGCATACAAAATACCGGCTCTTCACCAGATGTATCCCGTACTACTGATTGGAAGTCCTCAGGCGCCGTGTGTTTGAATGCCCCTTTTGTTTTGTTTTGTTTTTTTCTGGATTCTCTTTTTTCTTTCTTTTTTTCTTCGTCAAGGGTCTCTGGACAGCTCGGCCCCACAATGATCGACGGATTAGCCTCTGCCGAGAACCCTGAGAAAAGGCCATGGCGTGGTGATTTCCGTATCTCTTTTATCTCTCGAGTGATACTTTTAGTGCTCAGGGGTAACCTGAGTTAGTCTTATCAAATCCCGCTGTTGATTTCATTGCAAGGCTGAGAAAAATGGTAATTAGAGGCCGAGAGGGAGGCTCTCACGGGGGATGGAAAAGTCACCGAAAGAGTGTCCACTTCGGACGGTGGATCCCGGCACGGCCAGGAAGGCTCGGAAGGCGAGTCAGTCCACTTCATTCGAGAGAAAACGATGACTGTCCAAGGGTCCCGGTGGAGAAGCACTGATTGCGAAATGGGATCCTGGAAGGCTGGGAAGCTTCGCCGAAGAGGAAAGTGGGAAATAAGAGGTTGTTGGCCGAAAGTCCCGTATTCAGGCGCGTGTGCGCAAACCCTCTTAGATGAGCTTTTTCGATATGACTAGGTTGCGAGCCACGACAACTCCGGTGCCCTGTCTATCAACATCGAATATTCGATATACTAGACGGTGAGACTCGCTGTTGTTAACGCGAGTCCCGCTTGGCTTTCCCTGCAGAAAGTTATTCCGAACGGGCTCCTTCCGAAGGATGCCGGGTAAGATCATCCAGGTTTCTGCATCAAACCTGTGCCTTTTGCGCCATTCGAGCGGTGGCTGGAGGTCAAGACAGTATAAGCAAAGGTGTCTAGCCAGTGTGGCTGGCCTGAATCGTATCTGACTGCCTGCACAGGGCTTGCTAAGCCTTTTCGGCTCTAGACAGACGAAGACACAATGCATTGGATTACTAGGCTGCGCTATGTCGGGGTGAACCACGAACGCGCAACTGTGTATCAAAGGCGTGGGCTGACCTGTCGGGTTGTTGCTAAAAAAAAAAAAAAACAGAAAATACCGAAGAAGACGAAGGGAAGAATTCGACCGGGGTCGGGAATTGCCCACCGCGTTTTGGTAGGCGACCGGACATGGCGAATCGTCGTCTTTGATGTTGCCCATATCGACCTCAAAGGCGTCGACGATGAATGATTAAGGCAGCCAATGCGATCAATGTGAGAGAGGTGGTCATCGCAACTGAAATGGCCGAGGATTCGACAGATCAAACCGTGGCATATTACTATGTATGTACACCCACGTCCAGTGCATAAAAGGGCCCGGAAGTCGTTCCGATAACAAAGCGGACAAAGAAGGTCGGCCGAATGTGGATGACCAAGGACACGCTCTGTGGCGGTGTGTGTGTGTGGCACAGTGATGCGGCGTATTCGTACTTGTAGTCAGCAAGGTCAGTTGACGCTCGTGGGACGAGGGCTTCAAAGTATACACAGTAACGTCGGATGGAGGGCGAGGTTATGTAATCCACATTCTGGAGTTCGAATAGCAAGCAATGTAGCCGCGCTTACCGTTCCCCTCTTTAGTGCTGGCCACGGGGATTCAGAGGGTTGGATGCAACGCAGACTGCAGAGGAGACGCGGTCCAACCGGCAATCATTGCAAAAGAGAGGAATTGTGCGTGGGCTGTGAATTTGCAAATGGAGAGGATACCAAGAGTCAAGCGGGCTTCTCAGTATCCATTTTCTCCGCGTCAAGGTACGTACCGATGTAGCCAATGGCGCCTGCCATTCGAAAGGTAACTGGAAAGTGCATACCGCCTCGGTGCACCTGCCTCACTTTGGACATATTAACTGGAATCCGCAAAGAGTCCCTTTTAGGTAATTTGCAACTTCTACGAGAATGCCGATGTGTTGAGGTAGTTATGGCAAGATGAGGAATCGCCCCCTCCCCCTCGAAGGGCCCAGCTACCTACTTACACAGGTCTGACTTGCAGCAGAGTCGAAACCATCCATCTGCCCGCTCGAGCGGAAGGTGCGGTGCATTTCGGCGCTGTGAGGTGCGTCTGTACATCGACAACAGCGCTCCGTGACATACGATACAAGCGACACGGGCGAATAAGGCTCTAGCTAAAGGATCATCACACAAAAAGGCACATGATAAAAAATGAGAGAAATTGCCTTGGCCTGGTGAACAACCGACTTATATTCGCGCAACCCCACCAAAGCCGACAAGGAACCGGAGGGGGATGGATGGGATGGGCACGCATGCAGAAGGTCGCAGCCAGCAGGAAGAAGAAGCAGGAGCAGAAGCGGGCAGACCATTTCCGGGTTAGATACGGAGAAAGGAGTTGGTAGGCGAAAAAAAAAAAAAAAATCCAATGACCACAAAAAGGTAGAGAGATCCTAGGATTCGGTTTGATGCAAAGCGAGGTGGTGACTACGCAAAGACTAACACTTACAGGCTACCCGTGCTACCGTGGTGGAGGCCATTGACCAGAAGAGGAGAGGAGGGAGGGGTAATTTGGTATATGTTTTTTTTGTCCTCGTTTCGTCTAAGTACTGTCCTTTGAGCCTGTGTTTTCCTCACACAACCCAACCTTTTCTGACTTACACCGAGGTCATGATCCAATGATGGGCTGCTTTTACCACCAATCTTTGTGTCATGCCGGTTCCGTCGGTGCGTCTTGCTTCCTGCTTGTCACGCCTGTGCCCTGCTGTTGCTACCTTGCCTTAGTGCAAGGTAAGGTATCCGTACTCTGTAAGGCAAGGTAGGTATGTAATAATCAGTGCCTTGCTTGTCTACCCTGCCCTGCCGGGTCGGAGCGATGGGCAATTTCTGCCGTTGCCGGCCACTTTAAGCCTACCCATGTCGTCGGAAGCCTTGAGTATCCGCGTTTCCTGACTGGTCCAGGTTTCGCGAGGTACCATGCCTTAGTCCCTTCCAGCGGCCTCACGGCCTCAGGTAGGAAATATTTCGGCCACCGCCCGCCCCGTCAAAGACAAGACTGGAGTCACTGGACGCCCCAACCCACGTCAGTCGGTGGTGACCCCTCCATCCTCGGCCTCCTGCGCGCTCTCCCACCTCTACCGTGAGGCACCTCGCCTTACTGTGGTAGGTAGGTAGGTAGGTAGGTAGGTAGGTCGGCTTGCTCCCGTCCCATCCTTTCACTCCCATTGCTCACAGCACATCGCCTGAGACATGGACCTATTGGATGTTCTGGATGAATGAGACTTTCAAATTACCTACCTACCTACCTTACTTCACCTACCTCTTCGTCTTCCTATACGCTAGGTGTCTTGTAATAAAGTCTGATGAATGGTTGGGCGTGTCTTCTCTTAGATGAGGTGGTGCATGCCCTGCTTCACCGACAATGACCTGCATTCAACCTGCCTGACATCAGTGTGTAAGGTAAGGTAAGCCTAGGTACCTAGGGTAGGTAGATACGTCTGTAAGGTAAATGCCCTGAGATGAATCACCAAGGTACCTACTCCCGTACATGGAAGCCCGCGGATGAAGCACCTCCCGCATCTCAGTGAATTGTCAGTGCCTTGGGGTCCCTTCCCTCAACCCCAAACCGAATTCCAATCACCCGCTGTGCCAGCGTCCCTTCCCCCCCCTCCCCGCTAAAAAGTCAGGTCAACCAAGCTGCCTCCACCTTTTACCTCAAGTGCCAACCTGGTAGTGGCTTTCCCGAGAAGAAAAAAATTCATTCACAAAAAAAAAACTCGGGCCTCAGATTTTATTCCTGGGCCTTGTTCTCCTCCTCTCCCACAACCACACATATCTCTCTCTCTCTCTCTCTATCCCTCTCCTCCACAAACCTTGCCCTACCGGTATCCTTGTGGTCATTCTTCCTCTGTTCACTCGTCCTGCTCGGTCGATACCTTTCTGTTCGCCAATTTTACAATAGAGGACATTTCGTACACGACCAGCGAGACCCCTCAGGCCATCAACCAAGCCCTCCTCCAATCGAAGCCTTGCGTTTACCGTCTTCCACGTTTTCTTTGGATCGCCGCAGCCCGAGCATCTCCGGAACGTCTCGCCTCGCTTGCCTTTCGCAACCCAAAAAAACACACTTCGTTGACGTGCCCTCAACCCACCTCCCCCCTCTTCGTTTACGAGGAACACAGCTTCCACCGCACCTCATACCATCTCGCTCGCGCACTCGATCCTACTGATTCGTCAGTCCTCGCGTGCCTTCGTCCTAAGCTCGTTTCCGCAGTCGCCCCGAAAAAAACTAGCCACCTTCCGGCTTCACTGGACCAGCAGCACCTGCTCGTCCCGACATTCTTGCGTTTGCCTCAATCTTTGACGGCTTCCGACAACATCAACCGGCACCTGATTCCTTTTACGGCACCTCAGGCCGCCGACCGACTCATTCTTCCGGACCACGCGAAGAGGCTTGGTTCGCCCTCTCCGGTCTGTCTCCGTCTCAGGAGTTGCTGGTAAACCTCGGTTTACCCAAATAGCAGGATACACAACAGCCCGTTCGCGGCTACTACCTCAGGGCCTGGCAGGATTAGATCAGTTGATCATCTTCCCTGGTCCCTTGTACCCCAATAGTCTTTCGAGGCATGCCTATTTCTGCATCAGACCTAGCATCAGACACGATGGCTACTGCATTTTCTTACGCTCAAGCCGCCAAGGGTCAGGCGGCCACAACACCCGCGGCCCAGACCACCGAGAACGGCAAGGACTCCGCGAGCTCAGTAAACGGCGAACAACCGGGTGCCGAGCCCACCGCTGTCAAGAGCACCGACTCCGTTGACGACGAGTCCTCGAGAAATACCACTCTGAAGGCCCAACTGGCTGCCAAGCAGGACATTTCCTCTGTCCAAGCAGAGGCCAACAGCACGAACACACTATCTGCCGCCGCTTCCGTCACCGACTCGCGACGCGATGACGAGGAGGCCGTTACCGAAGCCTCTGCCCGCCGAAGTGAGAAGAGTGTGAGATCGGCAAGCGCATCTACTCGCGTGACCGACGAGGCCGAGCCGAAGAAGGGCTCTAGGAAGCCGAGAAAGGGCAAGGCTGGAAAAGAGTCAAGTGAGGATGCGAAGAAGGAGAAGGCCGCAGAGCAGGAGAAGGAGGAGCCCAAGATTGAGCTCGTCGAGGCGCCGCTTCCTTCGGTCAATATCTGGACCCAGCGCAAGGAGACTGCGGCTCACAAGACTTCTGTCACCTTGCCCGCCGCCAATGGTGCTTCCAGTGCATCTACCCCAGTTGACACCTGGCCTAACAGCCAGGAGTCTAAGAAGAAGAACAAATCCGCTGACGGCGCTGAAACCACCAATGGCGTTGCTGCCGGCAAGTCTCAACGCAAGGCTGGCGATGGTGATGCCGCCGCCAGAAGAAACGGTGCTCGCGGCTCAAGGGTTATTGAGAGAGATAGCCGACTGACCGAGGTCCCTCCCCCTGTTGGCGACGTTAACTCATGGCCTACGCCTGAGACGGCGGTCAAGGAGATTGTCAAGGAAGAGAAGCGCAAGCCTTCCGAGAAGGTTGAGCGGGTAGAGGTCGAGGCCCAGGATGATGCCGGCGCCAAGGGACGTTCAAAGGACAAGTGGGAGCGTATGGACTTTGTCCCTACCGTCCAATTCTCCACTCCCATTCCCTCAGTTAGAGGCTCTCGAGGAGGACGAGGTGGTGCTCGTGGCGGACGCGACGTTACTTCTCGTGGCGGTCACGGTGCTGCTGCTGCTGCTGCCGCCGCTGACAAGCCGGCCGGCACTGCTGCCCCTACCAAGGCTGGAAATGAAGCTCGTGACCGCACTCGCGACGGTAACGCTCCGGCCAGAGCCAACTCTCAGCCCCCTGTTGCGAACAAGCGGGCCTCAATGGAAGTCTCTAACGGCAAGGAGCAACGCAAGCCCACGGCGCCCAACTCTGGCGAGCGCAACAAGGAGTCGCAGTCAAATGCCACTAATGTAAGTTGATTTCTGCCTGGGTTGTCCCGCGATACCGTTTACAACATGTATGCTAACCCATGGAAAGGAGCAGGCCGGTCCTGCCAGAGAGAGAGGCGAAGGCCGCGGCGATAGGGGCCGTGGCGGATACCGAGGCCGCGGAGGCCACCCTGGCAACATGCCCATGCACGCTCAGCAGTCTTCTTACATGTCTAACGGCAACTCCTTCGGCTCACAAGGCCCCAGACAGTACGCCAGCCCTCCCCTTCACCAGGGCGGCAGCTTCCAATCCTCTTACGGAGGTTCTCAGTCCCGCGGTGGTCGTGGCGGCCGTGGTCAGTCAAATGGCTCTGGAGCGTTCCGCGGTGCTGGTGGCCCTTCGAACTCTGGCCGTATGCGTCAAGTTCAGACCAACATGAACCAGGTCTCCTGGGATTACGGAGTCCCCATGACCCCGGGTTCTTATGCCGCATTCTACGAGCAAACGAGACATATCATGATCCCTCAGATGGAGTACTACTTCTCCGTCGAGAACCTCTTGAAGGATACCTACCTGCGCAAGAACATGGACAGCCAGGGTTTCGTGCCCTTGGAGCTTGTCCTCGGCTTCCAAAGGGTTCGTTCGGTGGCCGATGCCCAGACTCTGCGCGCAATCATTGCCGAGTGCCCCCAGCTGGACTACGTTGTCGGCGACGATGGCATTGAGAGACTGAGATCTCGTACCCACTGGCAGAAGTTTGTCTACCCTAACATGGAGCTGCGCTTCGATGCTGCCCGCAACGAGGGACCTCAGTACTTCTACCCCCGTTCCCTCCACGCCATCGCTCATTACGACCACGGCATGCTCGGCGACTACCCTGTCATCTCGCCGACTGCTGCCTACCCCAACGGTGCCGAGAACAGCTACGTCGCCTACCCCACTGAGGCTCAGGGAGGACAGCCGAACGGCACTGTGAACGGCAACGCTGCCGAGACACAGCTTTCTGCTCAAGTCCCCGAATTCCAGCCCGGTCCTGCATCCGAGCAAACTGCCGAGACCTCGGCGGAGACGGAGAAGGCCCAGCCCCTCGTCAATGGCTCTGCCCACACAGAGAGCGCACCCTTGACAAACGGAAACCACGCTCAGCCTTCTGAAGCCCTCCAGTCCTAGTTGGACGAAGGCATTGTCGTGGGCTGTGGCAGCGAGGCGGCAGCATCAGGATGTGGTGACGACAGCAGCAACTTGTCGAGTCCTTCTCAACGCGCACACCTGCTGATGCGGTTTCGAGGCGAGAACTCAGTTGCAGAGTCTCCTATTGACGACATCCCGTACCCTGAGTTTCGTCAGCGCGCGCTCTCCCAACGGCAAGATACTTTAGCTGGGGAAATTCCCGGCGATATGAAATCCCTTTATCGGTTCTGGTCTCATTTCTTGGCCCGGCATTTTGATTTGGAGATGTTTGAGGAGTTTCGGGCATATGCGGTGGCAGACGCCACTGGGGGAACCATCAACACAACTGGCCTCAAGCACTTGATTGCATACTATGAAGCGGTCTTACAAGAGGACAAAGAATACCCTCTGGACAATCTAGAGTCTCTCTATGGAGAAGCGAAACGGCTAGCTGCGACAGCCGAGACCCCTTGAGAGTTGGCATCTGGGTCGGTTACAATGACGAGGATGTTTTACGAATTGGGCAACTCTTGTTGGAATTTTTTTCGACAACAAGCTGCGATAAACCCACCTAGGTTGCGGTCGCTCGATTTTCCGTCTTGGTCAATGTCACCGAGTGCATTTTCCCAGTACCGTTGAATCTGCGACGTTTCTTGGGGGTCATCCGGGACGAGGTCGCAGTTGTTGTCGTCTTCGAATGGTTGGAAAAGTTATCTGCTTCTTTCTCTCACAAAAGGGCATGGGCCGCAGCACAGAGAGATACGTTACCAGGTGGCCATCGACATACCCATGGGAGGTTTGATTCGGAATTAATTGGGACGGGGGGAATAATCAGAGGCAAAAAAATGAGGCAAGGAGGAAGGCTTCGCCCCTCTTGCGTGGGAATGTAGAAGCTTCGTCTTAAAGACAGCTTCGGACACGGGTTGATGAAAGTCTCTTCTCCGGCGTAACTCGGCATACAGGTCCGAGATGACAAGTCATGGATCGGTCTTACTTTCATTTGGCGGTTTCTCCTCATTATGGATGGATTTTGAACTTCCTCTTTTCTCTCCCCTCGCCTCATTGCTAGACGAAGAAAAAAGTTTTCTTCCTTTTTTTACTTTTTTTTTTTACTGCACATAGCTTCTGCATGCTTTATTCTGGGAAAACACAAACAGGGAAACAGGGGAAGGTTTATGGGCATGAAATGCATTCGAGCGGTCACAAGAAATTGGAGGCAATGGTCCATGGTTCTACTAGACTTTTTTCTCTTTCTTCTTTTCCCTTCCTTCCTTCGCTCATGAGCACACACGGGGATTGAGGGGAAAGGGAAAGAAAGAGACGGTATCATCAGGCAAAATCAGTCGAGCTGATGCTGTATTGTATGAATAGGACCTATTAAAAATGAATAAATCGGAGTATATGGCGTTCATATTTCGTAACTTGAAGTCGTGTCGCGTCGCTGTGGGTGAGGTCATCGCGGAAGAGGCGCTGTCTTCTTCTTCCATGGCTGGGCTGTAGAGCAGTAGGTTGAACATCCCTTGGAACCAGACGCTGGAAATTGACAAACCCACTTGAGCCGTGGAGACACACCCCCTACAAGTCAACTCTCGATATAAGTGAACAGGGTGGTGGGGGTGGAGGGGCAGCGACGTGTTGCTCGTCCTGCATGGTGGTTTTCGGCGATATGTTCGACCTCAGTCCATCCAACTACCACATACGACCATACCCATTGGAAAACTCGGGATCCCGTCCGCTCTCCCATAGATAAGCCAATGAGGGCCGGATTAGTAGTTGGGTCGGTGACGACCAGCGAATACCTGGTGTTGTATGTCTTTTGAAGTTTTGTTGATCTATGCATGGTGGAGATAGATATCACGATCTCCCAGGCGCGGTGGGGGACGGTGGTGTTTGGTTGGAGGGTCGAAAAGTACCAGCCGTGAGGTGTCATGCGGGGTAGTCAAGTTGCTGTTCTCAACTACTAAAGAGATTGAACTGTGGTCCTGTCACGGATATTGTCGTTTACTTCTGCTGGAACGGCCTCTCCGAGGTCTCGAAGTTGCTGGTGCATGATCCTTTTCCAGTATTCCGACCGCAAGATCCAGGTATCGACGTTAACCTATGTATACAACCTGTGTATGCCTCTTGATCGTCGGGCGATGTTTACCGACTCGCTGGAGTCTACTTTTCATTGAGTGTTATTACAGTTGTACGATTTTGTCAATGCTCAGTCCTAATTCGGCACTTGATCAAAGGGTATTGTCACCGAGAAGAGGAAAAGACGATCACGACGAGAGCCCCACCTGTTGTCAGCATGTAGTATTTAGTTAGATGGGATTTTCATTTTCATTCCAAAGTCGTATGATGTATAGGGGGTCGGTTTCGAAGTGGACGAGCGCCTCGCCTCCACCGTTTGAGAAGGAATTTGGTAATTTGTGTCTATCCAAAGAAGACCAACATGGGCTTTCAAATACACTTTACATGTCGGTATATCCGAGAACCTGATAAGGACTGTTGGAAAAATTAGGATGAATGGCGCATAACAAAATGCTCCTCTTCATCTGCCACGCACATGTTGGTGTCTGCGCGCCTGCACGGTGAACTTGGATGTCAGAACTATATCCTCCTCATCATGTGTTGCTATCGATGATTGTTGAAGCTCGAATACCTAATCACGCGCTGGATTCACTTCCTACTAGCTAGCTACTTCGCTTGGATAGAGACTCAGCAACCAAATGCTCTACAGGCGGTGGAGTCATATCTTGGAGGGAACCTCCGAATAACTCATAGAACGTGAGTGGTTGTATCCAGCTCGTTCGCAGCTCTCAAATTCTAATTGGTAGGGCCTTGTATTCTCACATGTCAACGATACTTACTTGACTCCTGTTAGAGAATGATGTGACGATCTCGAAGCGCCCGGACGAGAGAAATGAACTGGGTCCCTGTCACCTCTGACGTTACCAGGGCTGCCTGGACCTCCGAGATATCTTCACGCCCAACCTAGGTTCTTTACTTGCTCCTGTAAGTCATGGAACTGGGGCCGTCAGATCTCCCGACCGCATAGAAACAACAGGGTCTGGCTCGAAAGATTGATATCAATACATGCAGAACTTGACGCTTGGGTGGTGTGATTCATGAGAAGATGAGTTTGTGCTGTCATACCCAACTTACAATTTCACCAAATGCTAAAAAATGACTAATGTGAAATATCATGGGAAAGTCATGCCATATTACTCATTATTACATAACCATCCTCATCTCAAGTCTCGCCATCCGCCATTCTCGACAGAAGTAGAGATCCAAGAAGAGAAGGGAATTAGACCGAAAAAAAAGTCATTATCTACAAGTTCTTCATGCCGTTTGCCTCATTATTCAGACCGTTCACTGCGTTTCGCTCAACATTCGTCACCCATCTCATTTAGAAGGCCATGACGAGACCGACAACACCGGCGGCAACAGCAACGAGGCCGTGAACCATGGCGGTCGGGGCAGCGTTGGGGGCTTCGGTGGAGGAGGGTGCGGCAGAGCCAGTGGCAGACCCGGAGGCGTCAGTGGCGGAAGCGCCGCTGGACTCGGACGCGCCGCTCTCAGTTGCGGAGGCGGACTCGGACGCACCGGTGGTACTGTCGGATAGTGTTAGGATACATGCGAGTTTGATGGCAGCATATGGGGAAAACTTACGCAGCAGTTCCAGTGGCGGACTCGGATGCGGTGTTCAGGACAGTGGAGGTGAAGGCGCTGCCGGCAGAGTCGGTGCCGGTGACGACGCTGGGGGAGAGCGTGGGTACGACGTCGGTGGTGATTGTGGTCGGGATGGGGGTAATGGTGGTGGAGATCTCGGTGGTGATGGTGCTGCCGTCCGAGTTGGTGGTGGTGACGGCGATGACGGTGGGCACGGGGGTGCCGGCCGGGGCAGCAGTGGGGCGGAGGCTCTCAATGGCGGACTCGAGAGCGCCGTACTGGCTGGTGTACTGCGTCGGGATGGCCGCGGAGAACCAGTCCGGGGTGCTGGTGGCCTTAAGGACAGAGTAGATGTAGGACTTGAGATCCCCGGTGACGCTGGCGGCGCTAGCAGCGGAGCCGAAGGCCGAGGTCAGGGAGTCCCACTGGTCGGTGGGAATGTAGGCCGAGATGAGAGCATCGGCGGCGGCAGTGAAGGCCGGGGCGTCAGAGCTGTGAGGGCTGTGTTAGTATGTGTCTGGCTAGCTCCGAAGCTCCCCTTGAGCTATCTTTTAGATCCCGAGCGGGAGAGGCTGTGTGTCTTACACTTGGCGCGCGTCGATGGGGTTGGCAACAGCCAGCTTGGCGGCAATGGCCAGAGGAATGATGGCAGACTTCATATTGTTTGTTGGTTGAGGGGATGGGTATCACAGGTCTGTTGAGGACGAGGCGGCAGAAGTTCTTGCGAAGGGGGGGGGGGGTATCACGGGCTGGCTGAAGCAAACAAAGGCGGATGGGAGGGAAAGAGAGTGAACTACGGGACACAGCTTCGGAGGGTGGATGAATGATTTAAATAACAGACAAGGAATCGTGGTGATGCAGTCAAGAAACAAATGACGCCGTACGCGGTGAAGCTGGCGCGGGTACGACCACGGAGCAGGCCAGAACGAATGGGGAACCCATGGCGACAGCGATGGTGGAAGCGAAAGCTGGGAATTGCGCGTTTGTTGCCCATTGTGAGGGGCGAGAAACAGGCGGGCCAAAATCTTGGTGTTGGTCTTTTTTTCACATACCCTGGTCTGTATTCCTTGGAAAGCGGAGGTTGGGTAGAGATGCTCGATGCTTCGAGGCCCTTGCAGCCGCAGTAGTAGCCGGCCAGAAGCAGGCCAGAAGCAGCTCTGAGCTGGGCAACCGGCAAAGCGGGCAAGGCGCGAACAGGGAACAAACAAACGAAGCTGTAAACGGAGGGAGACCTGACGAGAAGCAGGAAAAAGCAGGGCAGGGCAGAGCCGTTCAGGCGTGACAGGCTGAAGTGAAGGTGAGGCCCCGGGCGGGATTGAGCTGGCGTGACGTTGACGGTTGACCCGGTTGCTTGCGTGTGTCATTGTGCGGTCGAACCAGGTCGCGGAGGATTTGCCTTGCACGACGTGAATGATTGCATCGAAATGGGTACGGATACACGGGTGATGGCATAGCGGTGTTGGCTCACTCGAGCAAGCAGGGGATCTGATTGGCACCAGGTTGCGTGTTTGCCGGCCTTGATCGTGGAATGGGGTTGTTGAGAACTTGGGAGGCTGGGGAAAAGTCGAGCAGCCTAAGGATTCAATTACGAGGCCGAGAAAACCCCAGCTGTACGTAGTAAGGTAGGCAGGTATATTGGGTCAAGGTATTCTGTCAATTGTCTTGGCAGTATGACTTGTTTGGTGCTATGCTCGTTTCGTTGAAAATCATCAGAGTCGTCCTCCCTCTCTGATGGGAATTAAGGGCATCACTGCAGAGGCCTTTAGACGAGTCTGTGATGAAAGCAGAACTACTCCATAGCATTTGAGCGAACTCTGGCCATGAGAACGTGCTTCTCCCCCGCCGAGAGCACAAGAATCAGGTTACGGTGAAGAGATGCAATGGAAGCGAGGCAGGTAGTGGAGGTGGAGGGATGTGGTTGGCGGGTAGTTGCCGTGGGCCCACACTATCGAGCTGGGCTGCATCATTGGCGAACGCCGTTGTCTTTGGACGAATCACACAAAGCAATTGTTCGAGCTGGGGAGGCAGGAACAAGGGATACCCACTCACGGCCGGTGCTCCCGTTTCCCGCCGTTGAATCAGGCACGTGCTAGGATGAGGTAATTCTCGGACCAGTCGACTCACGTGACTAGAACTGAGGTCCAGACTCCAGGTCAGTGACCGGCCACACAACCGCCACGCATCCATCGTCCACGTGTGGCACTTTCCGATGCAGAGTGTGGCTGCGCCACGCAACCAGCCTCAGTGCTCGCTCCGTAGGAACTCGGTTGAGAAGCAGCAGCAAGAGTGCAACACTACCTATACCTACGTCACGGCTCAAGAACACCCTTGCCCTTTCGGGGCAAGTTCCAAGGTTCCCCTCCTCAGGTTTGTCACCGCGGGGCATTCCATTCGCTCCACAGTCCACCTCAGATTCTCAGCCCAATCATCTCACCCACTTTCAATGTTCTATTCGATCACTTCCCTTCCATGATTCTACCTACACAGTAGGCATCTGCTTGTCATCCACGACTACATACCTTAGCGCGTTCCCATCAAGTCTGTCTGGCCAGTAGGTGCGGTGCGGTATCTTTAAGATACCGAATGAGATTTATTGCATTTTCGGTAACTTGTTTGCTGTTTGGAAACGAATGATATCATGCCGCAATTACGGCGAATCCCCAAAATACCCGCAACCTACCTTGAACGTGATCAACCTGTTACCGAGAGAAACAAACCTCGTGGATCTTGAGGCATTAAGAGAAAGGGAAAAGGAAACAAATGAACAAGGATCCTCAATTTGGTTGTGACAGACATATTTCGTACATTATTGGGCATCACCTGGCTCAGTGGGAAAGCAGAAATGGGTGCTTTTTTGCGGACTGACCGAGCACTCGGTGGCAGAGCCCTTCCTTAGTTAAGGTACTGAGGTATGTAGGTACTGGCTCTTGGGCCCCTCCTATCGACGCTCGGCCAAGTGGAGGGCACACTATGAGAGGTAAGGCAAGAGCGATTTTCGATGTCTCATTGGTCGGAATGCCTGTCGGTATGAGGTCATACTCCCTCCCACTGCTTCGTTGTCAACTCGTCCCGCCCTCCCCTCCGCCCTCCAGCTAGAATACGCCAGGGAACCCATATGCCACTACGTACAGCTCCCCAGGCTCGAGGTCACAGGCACAAGTTGCAGGCGTTACATGCAGGTAGGCAATGCCAACTGCATCGGAGGCCGCGCACATACCTTACCATGCTCGTTCTTCTCGCGAACATGGAGGCGCAGACGTCTTTGCCATCTCTCGGAGCAAGTAACATACGCTGCACTGCTTGAAACCCGAGTAGCTGTTGCATACTTGCAAGATCATCGGAGAGGACTCCCAAAGTCCCCCAAAGCCATCACCACCACCACACCTCCATCACTTGTCTTGGACTTTAGTTTTTGGTGCGCAGCGGCATCGGGTTTGTCGCAGGGAGCACCCGTCCTCTCATGCCACTTACGACAGCGCTAGCACAAGTCTCTAGGCGCACTAGACAGCCTGCCTGGCCACTCGTCTTACTTTTTCTTGGTGCCCAGCCAATGTGAGAACGAGCAACTGGAAAATTGGACGACCCAAAGAAGGATACACTATTTTCGGTCAGACGTTGAGAAGGGAGGGGGGCTTGACGGCACGTCCAAATGACTCTTTCGCCAGTGACTTGTGTTGTGTAGATGGGCTGCCTTTCGGATGAGAAAAAAGGGTCCCGTGTTGTTCAAGAACAAGTTTCAAAAGTATATGTTCACGGTACTTTTGCGGGCGAGGTACTTTCGCATGCCCGTATCGAACATGCCTTGCCCTTAGCATTGCTTTCCCTGAGGTGGTTCCCGCACCCTCCGTTTCTGCTGCCGCTGCCGCTACAAATGCTGCATCTTTGGAAGCAACGCTGAGTCGTCGACATGTCGCATCCATGTCTTCGGACAGCCCAACCCTGTTCTGCCCTGCCCACTCCAGGCCTAAGGTGGCTGTATCTGGCTGGCTTCTCTGCCTGAAGTGACCTCCCCGTCCCTGCCGTCTCTTTCCTTCCATGCCTGAATGCCTTTGCCCTCCCGTCTTGCTGGACCCTTGCCCATCCACTTTCTTCTAGCTAGCCCTGCCTCCCCTGTCTTCGCTCATCATCTCTTCCCCTCCTTCATTTCTTCCCGGGGCTTATTGTCCTTCATCTTTCTACTTTTAACAACTCATAGACATTTCATCGACTTCATCGAAAGTTTTTTCAACCGTACGTCAGTCTCGCCAGTTGAACTATCATCTCTGGCGGCATACTTGAGTCAAACCCTATCACTGTGTCACTTCACTCATACGACTTACATCACCCCGCTTCAAATCGAAAACTACCCACCGAGCCTGCTTGGCTCTTACGCCCACTCTCGTCAGCTGACATGAGTTACTACGAAGAGCCTCAGCGCACTCGCCGCTACGTGCGCGAGGAGCGTCGTGAGGAGAGGATTGATCCCCGTTATGCCGACGAAGGCTATCTTAAAGTTCACCAAACCCGCGAGATCATTCCTCGTGCCCGAGAGAACAGCGAGCTCTCTATTGAAGAAGTCCGCCGAGACTTCCCCCCTCCTGGCTATAGAGACTCGCGAAGAACTCGCTCAGCAGAACCCGGCTACTACGACGACCCCCGCTATGACGACCGGGACCGATACTATGACCGCGAGTATGATCGTCGCAGCCGCAAAGCCGGCAGCCTCGTCTACGCCGAAGAGGAGAGGTCTCGCAAGCGCGTCATTAACCAACAAGAGAAAATTTTGGCCGCTGTTGCCGGTGCGGCTTTAGCCTTTGGCGGCAAGGAGCTTTACGATAGAAAAGAAGCCAAAGAACACCGCGGCGAAATCGAGAGAAACTACCTGACTTCGGCGGCATTGGGAGCAGCCGGAGCTCTTGCCGGCTACCAGGGCGCAGAGTACTACGGCAAGCGCAAGGAAAAGGAGGAGGACAAGTCCACCTATGTTATGCATCGCGGCCGTGACGGTCGAATCACCGAATACTACTCCGACGAGGAGGGAGACAGGGAGAAAAAGGGTCACAAGTCGTTCCTGGAGAACGCTCTCGCAGCCTCTGGCCTGGGAGTTGCTGTCAAAGCCCTCACAGGCGCCAGTGGTGGTGATGACCGGCGCAGCGACACTAGAAGCCGACGAGGTAGCCCCGACTCGAGGTCTTCTCGGTCCAAGTCTCGAGGACCCGGAAATGAAGCCGCCAGCAAGATGCAGAAGGCTGCCATGGCTTCTCTCATTGCCGGAGCTACTGAGGCTTTCCGTGTTGCGAAGGAGCCCGGCGGCTGGAAGGGCGAGAAGACAAAGCGCATCATCACTGCCGCTGCTGGTGCAGCTACCATCGACGCTGCACAAGGCGGCGAGAAACAGAGCAAGTTGGGCCTGGCCGAATCCGTCATCGGTGGCCTGGTCGGTAACCGGGTCATCAACGGATCCAAGCGCAACATCGAGGAGGATCGCCGAACCGGACGAAGCCGATCGAGGTCGCGCGCTCGCTCTGACGGCGGAGGCGGCGGACCGGGCTTGGCTGCTCTGGCAACTGCCGGTCTAGGTGCCTTTGGCGCAAAGAAGGCTATCGAGAATGTGCGGTCCCGGAGCCGTGGCCGCAGCGCCGACTCTTATGACAGCCGTGCCTCTAGCCGCGATGGTCGCGACAAACCCCGCCAGCGCAGCAGAAGCCGCAGTGTTGTCGACTCTGCACGGAAGCGACTCGCCAAGATTGGCATTGGCAGCAACCCGGAGGAAAAGGAGAGAGAGAAGTACGGCCGAGATGATTACTACGATGACGACCGTAGCTCTCGACGCGGCGGCATGACCCGGAGATACTCTGATGAATACGACGACTACGACAGGGGATCCGCACGTGGTGGACGTGACGCATACGACGACGACAGATCGTCATACACGAGCCGGCGCCGCGACCGTTCTCGCCGCAGGGGAGGAAAGTCGGACACCAGTTCCGAATCGGATCTTGGAGACTCGGACGATGACGCGAAGCGCGCAAGGAAAATGAGAGGTAAGCAAGTCATTACAACCGGCCTAGCGGCCGTTGCCACCATTCACGCGGCACATGGAGTCTATCAAAGCATGGAGAAACGCAATTCAAGGCAGAAGGCTGTGAGGGAAGGGCGGCTCAGCCCAGAGGAGGCGAAAAAACTCAAAACCAAGGCTCTCGTGCAAGACGCCGCCTCTGTTGGAATTGCTGCCCTCGGTATCAAGGGTGCCTGGTCTGAGCTTAAGGAAGCCAAAGAGATGACGCACGAATGCAAGGAATTCCAACACGAGAAGGAAATCCGGCACCAGAAACGACTTGAGCGGCAGAAGAGGCTCACCGACGGCCATGGTGGTCGACGGAGTAGGGCTGACGACTGGTCTCATGCTGGTTCTCCGCGAGGAGAGCGGTATGACTACGGTTCAACTTACTACGACGATAACCCGTACTCTGCCGGGCACCTGCCTGCACCTCCTGTTGGTTATGACGACAGGAGATACAGAGACTGAGAAGCCAGGGAGAGGGCACTTCAGTCCTGAACGGTGGGGTGTTTCGTCCTTGTTGGTATTCTTCGGATTCCTCAAGACAACGTCCTCGCCCGCGCGGGCTGTTAGTCTCACTCTGCCCTCAACTCCTCGGTTTCTTTTACGACCTATAATGCCTGTATAAGACACTACGACGTTACGACATTTTTCTACAAGTCATCTTTCAGCCACACTTATATCTGTTTTCAAACAAAACCGGGAAAGATTTTGGAAGACTAAGGGGATGTGGGAGTGGCGCTTCACACGTTTCACAACGGCCCTCGACGGGCGCCACCTTGCATTGCGTTTACTCAGATAGATGGATTCCCTTTTCCCCTTTTGTTGCCAATCTACACGCAATCTTCTCTTGTACTTGAACCATAACTGATTCTAATTGGATTGTGACAGACCGGGACCAACGCCGCCGTTACTAATCGGCCTGCGCCGCCATCAAGAGGAACCAGATGCATCGTCACTGGTTGAGCCGTTGTCTTCGGCCCCTGCGGATGACAGTAGTACCAAATGGAGGGCATCGCAGCATGCACCTCAGACAAAATGGGCAAACGATGGAGCCGAGATCGAGGCTGATCGGCAGGGTCTGATTGGAACCAACTGTTTTTGTTCGATTTAAGCAATGAAGGGGGAGAGAGACAGAGAGAGGTCTGGCCACCACATGGCCCCGGGCTCGTAGTGGTTGAAGCAGCCAAGCGGAACCCGATGAGAAGGGACCCCTGTTCCTGAGACAGACCGGACATTTTTCGCTAGCGCGGGAACGGACAAGCGGCGGTGAGAGAAGGCGGCTACCAGTTGGAAGATTGGGGAATAGACGGGAAGGGAGGGGTGGCATATGCGGGATGATGATATGCGACGGAAAAGACGGCTACGTGGGTTTTAGTCCTCGGGCCAGAGCACAAGATCATCATCGTCGAGATACCGCGATGCACTCGCTGCCCCTCCCCATCCCCTAACGAGCACTCATCACACGATATTTTCTGGTCTCTTGGCTTCACAGTTTCCTACTTAGATGGGAAGATGGGCATTTTGTTTTTATGATACTTGGCTGGACATGTAGTTCCCGATTTTATGAGTATGAGATATGATGACCGTTGCGGCCTAACCTCTTCTCCCGATTCCCTTCTCTTGACTATGGCTGGGTACCCTTTGGTGACTGAGAACTGACGCTTTGTGTGACTTTTGTGATACGCAACGGAAGATCCCCCCGGCAAAAGCGGTCGGGTCCGAAACAGCCCATGCCTCTCCCCTCCTTACCATGTCACCGGCAGTGCCCAGAGCCAAGAGCTGCAGCCACCCCGCGGGTAATCGACTCAGTGAGTACATATTTTGGGCTGCTTCCTCTTCGGTTTCCTCAACCATACCACCATACCTACCTATCGGAAAAGCGAGGCAGATGTGAAAGAAGATGTTCTAGACTGTTCCTCCAACACCCCGCCCCCTTCTCTCTCATCCCATCATCGTGTCTGCTGATATTCTGACAGCAGCTCTGCCAACTTTTTTGTTGCTCTTTTGAGCTGTTCTGATCTGCCATTTCTGCTTCGGTCTCGGTCAAGTTGGCACATTTGGAAAGAATGCGTCATGCGGACAAGAGATGGAGTGTGGGGGGACACATGGGCAGACGTCGGCACCGTCCGTCGGCTGATGTCCTGGCTGTTCTGTCGTTCAGCCTGTTCTGATCTATTGGAAGGGGAAAAGAAAGGCAATGGGGATGGGAAATTCGATCTGATCCGATCCAGTCAGTGTACCGTGGTTAGCTTTCCTGCCCAGTCAATCAATGTCAAACTGCCGTGGGCAATAACAAGTGACTCGTGCTCTACACTACCTTACCCTACACTCCCATTAGCACGGATAGCGTGCGTTGGTTGCTTGACGGCATCGAAAGATGCCGTGTGGTGTCGTGGGAAAGGATGGTGGCGGGGTGACAGGCGGCTGAGCAATCAATGGAAAAATGACATCATTGTACATCCGCCGCATTTTTTTCTTTCCTGGATTGCCCTCCCCTCCCTCGCGCCTGCAGTCGCTATTGGTGAAGACATCGTCATTCAGATGACTGGTCTGACATGTTCTATCCGCCCGCCATCCCGATGATGGGCAAGTCCCAAAGTCCAGTACTGTAGTCTGCTGAATTGCACCAACTACTAGATCATGTGTGCTTATTGGTCGGCAGCTCGTTGGGTTGGGTGCAAAGCTTGTATGTTACGTGTCTGGGCAAGGAGTAGTAGACCTGAAGTCTGGTGAGGCAGAAAAGAAAGAGAGAGCGAGAGTCTCGACTCTCGTATGGAATAAGGTTCGCCGGCTTACCATTCCGGCGGGAGCTTCAGATGACTGGTTACCGGGGATGCCCATGGCGAGACTAGAGTAATCTGGATAAGATGAGACACACACGATTTGGTCCGAACTCTCTTTTTTTGATGCTGGATAGGGCATCTCAAAATTTCATGGAAGCTTTTGTTTTTGGGTACAATGGGGGTTGCTAAAGAGCATAGAATTACAAAAATAACAAAACGTCGTCTCCTCTTACAACGGACGAATTTTATGCCGCAGCATCTCCTCCCTGCTGCTTCCAGGCCTGCGCCATGGCCAACAGATTCGACAGGTTCTGCGTCTGCTTGTCGTCGGCGGGGAAGACGTAGTCGATGTACTCCTCGAAGCTGTCGTCCTCCAAGCGCCTTCTGCGCTTCGTCTTGCGCGGCATCAGCTTCTGCACATTCTCAATCTCGTCGTCTCCGCCGTGTATCCTCTCAAACGACAACCACGCGTTGAGCAGCGTGACCGTCTCCTCCTTGAGCTCCTTGTCGCGCATGCTCTTGTGCGCGCGCTCAAAGACCTTGCGCGCCCTCGTCTTGGCTTCCTTGCTGATCGGTGCCTCCTCTTCTGCCTCTTCCTCGTCCTCGGGTATGTTGAGCTCAAAGTGGGCGTAGCTGATCCAGACCTTGACGTGATCCGTCTTCTCAAGGAGGCGCTCGTAGAGTTCTCTCGTGCGCTCGTACTCTTCCTCCTCTTCCTCGAAATCGATGTAGGCCTTCCATAGCAACTCGGGCATATCGAGAACCGGCTGGCTCACGGCCAATTCGAAGATGGCCCGGGTCCGCTCCAAGTCGTCAAGGCCGCGCTCAAGCTCGGCGAACTTGATCCAAGTCTGGCAGTTGGAGGCGTTCCACTCAATGTGCTTCTCGTAGAGTGTCCGGCATCGCAAAAACTCAAAGAGCTTCAGTTCCAGCTCAATGTAACCCCTGAACAGCTTGTCCTTCGGGCACATGCCAATAGCCTGGCCCAGGGTCTTGCGAGCCGCGGTTAGCTCACCCTGCCGAATCTCGAATTGCGCCTTTAGCAGCCAGACCTTGGCAAAGGTGAATTTCTTGTGGGGTATCAGTTCCAGGCAAACCTTGTAGATTTGCCTCGCACGCTCCATGTCCTTTGCCTGCAACTCCTCAAAGATGGCGTAGTTGATCCAGAGGTAGATATACCGTCTCCAGAACCTCTTCTCTTGCGCTGGCGGTACTTGTGATACTGCCCTCTCGTAAATGTCGCGGACTCTGTCGAGATCGCCAGCGGTTTCCTCCAAACGTGTGTAGTCGAACCATGTATCGTAGTTCTTGGGGTTCTCTTTGACTTGTGCTTCGTAGTAAACACGGCGTTTTGAAAGTACAACGTCCTCGACGCCATCCTTGTCTCCAAACTGCTTCTCAAAGGTCGTATAAGCCTTGTGAAGGATCATTGATTTAGAGCGAGGAAGGCGATCCAGTGCGTACTTGAAGATCGCCCTCGCTCTTTCATACTCCTTCAACTTCGCCTCATAACGCGCATAGGCAATAAAGAGCTTCTCGTCCACAAATTCGTCGCCCAGCTCTTCGATCGCAGTACCAAATACGTCGCGTACCATGTCACTCGTGCCGAATTCCTCCTCAAATTTCGCCCACTTGATCCAGTTTCGAGGTTCCGGGTGGACGAGTGTGAATGCTCTGAAGATATCTCTGGCTCGGTCGAACTCATTGTATCTCTTCTCCAGCTTGATATATGCGCTCCACGCAGCTTCATCGGGTTGCCATTGCATCCAACGGTCAAAGACTTGGCGAGTTCCTGGAACGTTGCCCAGCATTTCCTCCATGTACACATATTTGTACCAAAGTTTATCGACACGAGGTAGTCGTGTGACGGCCCTGTCGAGAAGATTACGCGCATGGTTGATGTTTCGGCATTTCACTGGGAGAAAGTCAGCTGTCTGTCTCGTCACAGAGGGTTGGGGTTGGATTCCATACTTTCCGACTCGATGTATCTGATCCACAACTTGATCTCGTTGGGGTGCACATCGAGCGCGCGCTCGAAGATTGATCTTGCGCGCGCAAATTCCTTCTGCTCCAGCTCCCAGTCCGCATATCGCATCCAGTTATTGAGGTTGACTCTATTGCGTCGAACATAGTCTTCAAACTCTCGTCGTTTCCGGCCCTGGAATTCGTGAAGTTCCTCTAGATCGGCGAACCGCTGAGTAGGTGCCTGCAGCGCGACCTCTTGTCGGTCAACAGCCTCTCGTAGAAGTTGCTCGGCAGAGATCTGAACAGGCGCAGCGGCCTTGTTCTTGACCTTTGGGGGTCCTCGTGATGCCTCCATGCTGTCGAGCAAAGTCGAGATCGGTTAAAATCGGAGAAACGCGTGGAGTCGCGTGTAGTGAGAGTCGCTAGATGTGACGGTAAAAGCTTCGGCGCTGTATGGGTACCGGCAGGTTGAGTCGCGTCACCTTATTGCCCAATTGATGATATTCTGCATCGGTCGCAAACACCACGATTCTCAGGCGGCAGGCCCAAGGCTGAAGCGTTGGAAAAACGCAGCTCTTATCGGCACCAGCCACTCCGATAACGAGCTTCTGTGGCTTAGACCCACCCGTCGCGCCAAAACTTCCGTAGCCTCGCGAGGCTTCCATAACTTTATATCCTCCTAACCTTACAACTTCTTCACGCCGTATCTCTTTCCTAGGCGACTATACCATCTAAGAGCCACTTCGGTAGCTGCGACTAGCAACATGGCGACTCTAGCAGATGAGCTGCTGAACGATTTCGAGGACTCTGGGTCGGAAGCAGAGGAGACTCAGCAAGACAATGATCCCCTAGGACTTGATCATGCGCCCGAGGCGAGCGGTCGCAAAGCATCGGGCGGCATGGATCTGGACGATGACCAGAGCGAACCTGAGGATCAAGATGAAGAAATGGGTGGGACACCCAAGGGTGCTGTTGACCCTGTCGAAGATGCAGAGGATACAAAGGCAAAGGTCGAGAAGATGCAGCTGGGTGGCGTCAACGATGTTCGCAGTGTCGCCAGTCTCATGTCAAGTTTGGAGCCAGTACTAGAGGTAAGTGGCGCACCCGAAAGCACCATTCGCTTGATGGAAGCTGTGTTTACATCGTCTCCTGGGAGAAATAGCCCTAACATCGTCACTCGAACGCTACAGAAAATCGCACACTACCAGTCGCAACCGACTCCCACAGAGCTGCTAGGCAACATCGAAGACCATCCCGAATACCACCTCCTGACACAATCGAACAGCCTGTCGACTCTCATAGATAGCGAGATCGTCTTGGTTCACAAGTATATCAGAGACCACTACTCAATACGATTCCCAGAACTGGAGACCCTCATCACCAACCCACTGGAGTATGCGAAGGTCGTCGCGATCTTGGGCAATGGACCGCTTGATTCGGAGAATATCAAGAAGCTTCAGCACTCAACGGACAATGTCCTTCAAGCTTCCCTGAAGTCCGTTCTCGACGGCCCATCCCTCATGATCGTGACAGTGGAGGCTACGACAACGAAGGGCAGAGACATGTCGCAAGAAGAACTGGAACGCGTTTACAGAGCCTGCGAAATGGTCATCTCCCTCGACAAGGCGAAGAAGACCCTGACGGGCTATGTCCAGTCACGCATGAATCTGTTCGCGCCGAATTTGACTGCTATGATCGGTTCTCTGACGGCTGCTCAACTGTTGAACGCCGCTGGTGGCCTTACTGGTCTGTCGAAGACGCCCGCGTGCAACATTGCAGCATGGGGTTCGAAGAAAGGTGCTGGTGCCGCAGGCTTGGCTACGAATATTGGCGTCAGACAGCAGGGTTTCCTCTACCATTCACCCATCATTCAAGGCATTCCCAACGATCTCAAGAGACAGGCCATGCGCATCGTATCCGCGAAGCTGCTACTCGCTGCCCGCGTCGACAGAATTCACTCCAGCGCCGATGGCTCGACGGGCGAGGATCTCAAAGAGCAGTGTCTCACAAGGCTTGAGAAGCTCACGGAACCGCCTCCGAACAAGGGCCCCAGAGCTTTGCCGGTACCGGATGACAAGCCTTCCCGGAAGCGTGGTGGTAGAAGGGCAAGGAAGGCCAAGGAGGCTACGGCCATGACTGAATTGCGCAAAGCCCAGAATAGAATGGCCTTTGGTAAGGAGGAGCGTGAGGTCGGCTACGGCACAGGGGAGACCACGGTTGGCATGGGCATGATCGGACAGGGCAACGACGGCAGAATTCGCAACCTCCAAGTCGATCAACGCACGAGGGCCAAGCTCGGCCAGAAGAACAAGGGCTGGGGCGGCGCAACGCCCATGGGCGGAGCGGCATCCTCGCTCAAGGGTTTTGGACAATCAGCAAACTCCAACATTGACCTACGCGGCAAGGGCCTGAGAACGTCAGGTGTTGGCACATCGCTGGGCGCGGGAGCGGGCACGGCATCCTCGCTGGCCTTCACGCCTGTACAGGGTCTGGAGCTCGTCGACCCCAAGGTCCAGGCTGAACTCAGTCGCAAGCGAAAGGCGGAGGAGGACCGGTGGTTCAAGGGTGGCACATTCACCCAGGTTGCGGGCTCGTCCAATGATGGCTTCAAAAAGCCAGACTTGCCTCCCAGTAAGAGGGTTGATACCGGCGCCGGCAAGATGGGACCTCCACCTCCGAGGAGCGGCTGAGTGAGCCCGCCTAACCTAGCCGATGTGATTGTGGCAAGAGAGGAGGATGTTCATGGTATCAAGCAGGGATTCAAGAGTTTGGGAGAAGAAAGTCTACGAAGCATATCTCTTACCCGAAAAGCTAGCCCCGGCAGATGAAAGGGAAAATGAGGAGGGAGGGGTGGTTGTTTCCAGGTTGTCAATCGGGTTCCGCGGCTGAGCAAGACGAAGTGAGTGATCACTCGGCCGGCGGGAAACGGCGTGCGGCGTTTTGGGGATGGTTTTTCCATTATTCGAGTCATCGAATCAGTATCAGTAGCAGCATACCATTTAGGCATTCTAGGGCGGGAAATGGAAATGAGACGAATTTTATTTTTACCATTGCTCAACTTCGGGATGCCGTTCTTCTGTCCATGTCCAAGGGAGAAGAGGAGGGGCCAAAGACGTACCAGGTGTATGTTTGTCCATTTCCTCACTACGAAGCAAAGCCCACGATTACCGGCGCATTGCCGTTTCTACGTCTTGTCGGCAGTTCTTCATCTCGGCTTCTCCATGTGTGCTTGTGCGCTCACGTGTGTAGCGCGAAGAAGAAAACTTGAGACGATTAGAACACGATGTAGATTGGGAAATCGCATGTCATGTGTGTAATAGCCCAACGGCCATGTCGATCAAACGTCTTTTTTTGGTCCCAATTTTTCTCTCTCCAGTAGGTATTCGTAAACTCCCCGTCGTCTCCCCGTGTGCTACATCCCCATTACCAAAACGCCAACGTTTTGTCCTTTTTCTGTGGAGGCAGCTCTTCTTTTTCTTCTTTACCTTCCCGTCGCAAAAAAAAGCATGGTTTCGTAGAAACGTCTTTGCGGTTCATGCCAAAAAAATTTCTGTTTCTTGGCTCCTTTGAAACAACGTTTACTTTGGGGGCCTCACCATCCGCCCAATCTTCACGACCCTTTGGTTCGAGGGTGAACGAACCGTCGATCGTCATCCGTGCCTTGAAAAGTTGAAAGGTAACGAACGTGCTTGGGCAGCGTGGCAGCGTGGCAGCGTTTGTTGGGCGAGCAACGCATCGCAACGCAAAGACCTTGGGTCGTTATGAAAACGCTCGTCCTTTTCTTCGAGAACCACGCAGAAGTACAGATATTGGAGGGGATGGGAACAGTTAGGTACGAAAAATGGAGAAACAATGAGAAAAAGAACACGAGGGAAAAAACCGTCGGCAGGTCGAGAGTCTAATTAGACAAGAGGAGGGCCGTGATGGCCTTCTTTTGCCCTTTTGGCCATGCCTGTTGGGGTCTGGGCTCACCCAAGGGAAGAACGTTTCCTCTGTGCACACACACATTGTCGTCTTTCCACACGTCTTGATGTTGGGCTCATCCTCGTTACCCACCTATCAAGAACACGCCGCCTTCTGCCGCGCGAGATCTCTGAGAAACCAGACTTTTCTCCCAAGGTTCAGCCATTGTTAGGTAGGTTCTGCATTGAAGAGCTCGCCTACCCTCCTTCTTAATCTCAAAGCTCCCCAAGTACACCCTATCCCCTCACATTACCCCCCACCCCCCGGTTTCGCGAAAGCTCTAATTTGGAGTAGGGCCGCGACAGGCTCGAACGGGACCACGAGGCGACGATGCCCATGAGATTGAGAACAGACGGGATGCATCGTTAAGGGAACAAGGAAAGTTCTTCAGGGGCTACCATACACAGGATGAAGCCCGCCCATCATCTGTGCCCATGCCTACCTACACTGTCGAGAGGTAGGGCCACCAGCTCACGCGACCACGCCGCGCGAGTATTGAACGCCCGAACCTGTCGCCGTTGCGAGGCTTTCCAGACTTCGACTGGACCAGGATTTTCCGGGGTATCCCGCTATGAAACGCTGGAGTTGGAACCTCGAGCCTATGCTTTTCTCTGCCCTCACGTTCCTCAATTGTGGCGTGAGTTTGTTGTATGAGTATAGTTTTTTCTGTGTCTCTTTGGCTTTCTCTTGTCAAAGGTTCTATACTGGACCCCGAGGATCCCGGAGTCGATTCCGACGGGCGAACAGTGATCACGCCAGGCACAGATCGACAGTTGACGATAGAGTTCGAAGCAACGTTGACACGAGCATTGCTTGACAAAAGCTCTGTGGGTTTGTACTCGTACGTTCCCGAAAATTACGCATTCTTTCGGCATGCCAATTATTGTCCTCTTCTCGGGAAGTCGACCCTATTCTTCTACCAAGCCCGTAGTTAGTTGTCATTGTTCTGAGCTCATTGGCGCAATGGGTGCAGATCTCAATTGGGGGGGTTGTTGCAAACTTGCGCTGGGCTTACCTAGCAATGCGCCATTCGTGCCTGGAATAATGGGCACATGTTTCGGCTCGCAGTGGCCCCCGTTGGCCCAGCAAAAGTAACAAAAGTACGGAAAGCACCTTACTGTATCCGTACGGAGTACACCATAGGGCCCGTCGGGAATATCGTCCGCGGCCGAAAGACAAGCGGGGCCGGTAACGCATGCCCTCTGCCACAATGACGTACCGCTTACCATGACACGAGGGTTGCCAAAGCCGGAGTTAGGTCCCTTGAAAATCTATAGGTTATTACCCTTAGTATGAGTGGGGAGTCAGAATGCAAGCTGCAGCCTGCACTCCGTAGTCCGCACCGCAAACCATGATCGATAGAGGCCCAGAGGGAGGGGGCGCTGCCTCACATGGACAGAGTCCCCGCCCCGGTGAGCTTTGCGAGGTCCCTGGAGTTTTTCTGTATCTGTCTCCGTACCCGCAGACGTTCGCAAGGGTCTGAGGGAAGGGGAGGGGTTAGACCGGACAAGAGAGCAGAAGAGGGGGAAAAGGGACCAAAGCCCTTCACCCTCGTATGTTTGGAAGCACCCATCAGGAAAAAAAAAGTAGACAGGCATCCTGTTGGTAATCTCCTGCCGACTGTGGCTTGTCTCATCACCTTCTCTGGCAACATGGACGTCTTCTCTTGCATCAACACATCAGCATGGACCCGAAATCCCATGGTCTGGCAGTTCGCTTTGATGGCACCTCCGAAATTTGACTTTGTGGCTGCAGCTGGACCCCATGTTAAGAGGACGGTCCAGAACTTCAGGGACCAGAGGATCGTCCTGATAAACGCAGGGAAACCCCCAGTAGCAGACGACTTGTTCCCCAGAAGACCTCAGGCAACGAGGGACCAAGTGCACGAGGAAACAGGCCTGGCAGTACGTACCGAAGATACATAACCTTACGCGGTACGGATAAGTGCCTAAGGTAAGGTAGGTCGCAACCTATCAGGGTTGGCAATCCCATCCCCCCAATAAAAGAAAAGAAAAATTGCCTGACAGCGTTCCGTTGGCTGACAGTCCGAGGGTCCGTTATCGTTGATCTCCTGTCTTGCCAACCGCTCGGAGGCTTCTCTGTGTGAAACTTGGACCCAAGAGTACTCCGTCTTTACTTGACAGCTTGGCGGGCCAATATTCCGAGCTCAGAAATTTTGTCGTTCAAGCGGACGGCGCTTGAATTTGAATCGAGCCTCGAGGGGAAAAGGACGATTGAAGAAAGAAACCGAAAGACAGGCCACTCGCAAGGGCCCACCTGCCAATGCCCCGTCTTCGGGGAAGACGTAGGGATGAAAACCCAATGACGTGAGGGTGATGTTGGATTATATTGGTCCCCAGCCGGACTGCGGGGAGGCACCCTTCTTCCCCGACCAACTGGACCCGGCTGCAGCATTCAAGGACGGCGCTACAACGCCAGCTGGTCAGACGGGTGCAAGACAAGGTGGAGAAACAAGTAGGTACACTCCAAAGTTCGAAACGCAGGCAGAAAACGGAGAGAAACGTGCATTTGCCGAATTGAAGCCGACCCGGAGACTGAGAGCACGCTTTGTTAGAGGTACCTAAAGAAGAACAGCGTTTTCAGGATAAGTCGAAACAGGACGCTGAATCGTTGACCGCGATCTTGTTGGAGGAAGAGAAGGAAGAGGCATACTCGACCACTGAAGCGGCAACGAAGGCGAAGAGACAAGCAGACAGTCATTGTGTGATACAACGTGTCAGCCAGCACTTGCATTCAGTCAATGCTCAATGCGAATTACACCGGGACACCGCGCAACCGTGATCGTAGGGGTTGCGCGTAAGGAGGCAACGAACCTGTTTCTTTCTGCGCCCATGCTGTGAGTTGGAATTCGTACATCTGTCTGTATATGCTTAACCCAAATGAAAGTCAACTGTCAGGGTGCAGGCATGATCGCGCAGGGCAAGCCTGATACGGTTCTTCTGATACTCTCTGTCAGTCTGCTTGGTCTGTCAGCAAGGCACACAGCAAGGTCCGGATAGCTGTTTAGATGCATAAAATACATGGAGCTACCTTACCTTAGGTAATGAAGCTCCATCCCGCGGTGGGGAGAGGTGCCGCTTTCACAGTTTGCCAGTGGAGTCGAATAGGATTGTGGACTCGTCTAGGCCTTGCCAAGGGGCACCCGATGTATCCGCCCGGCACCACGGCGTGGTTGAAACCAGGATAGGGTAGGTGCGCCAGGTGCGTTGGAAGACTACAATCTACCATGTCCCTGTGGTATTTCTGGCACGAGTGGAGCTGTCGCGACTGCGCGAAAGAGAGAGGGCGAGGGGCGGCAAGAGAGTTTTCGTCTTCGGGGATCAGATGTGTTGCGAGAGACCTATGTATCCGTACCTACGTCACTCTGGCGGTTGAAGGACGACAAAGGACCCGCCGGAGTGTGGAGCACGGAGTCGCGGAGCATGGACCTGAGAGCTGCTCAGTAACCATATTTTGATCTTCAGCAATGGGCGTTGATGTCGGCGACCGCGCTGGGTCGAGGAATGAATGAACCAATACAGTGAGGTAGAGTACTCCGTATATCAGCTGTCCTTTATTCGCGCCTCATATTCAATTGGTGTCGAAGGAAGCGTTGCCCTGTGTACGCCTCAATACTCCAGCTCTCGAGATGATTGTCTGCAGCAAATAAGCGTATGTTCATGTCTTGTCTTCGCAGAATGACCGGCCTGAGAGAGCGTGCTGTGTATTGTATTCGCATGCATTAAATGGTGCAAATGCAGAGGGACACCGTACCGGAGCAGGCACTCCGGAACGTGTGTGCCTGTCAATCGAGATCGGTGATCGGTGATCAGTTGTGATCAGGCGGAATATTCTGCGGCTGGTGCGACGTTATCTTCAGGGTCTGAATGGTGCATTAGTTGGGTTGGGCTCCGTCAAGAGTAAGACTAACAGCGAGGGACCTTGGTTCGGTACCCTAGGGGTCGTGATCGTCGATCTAGTGTGTATACATAGAGCTGAGGATGGAGGTGGGGATAAGAGGGGAGACTCGAGAGTCAAGAGTGCGCGCGCGCACACCGCACACCGCACGTCGCACGCCTAGCGTCCACAGACGTTCTCCAAGGAATTGGACGGGAAAGTAAAACGGGGCGCAGGTTTGCGGGGCTGTCGGGTTGGACTTGCACCCTTAAAAACGCAATGTGCGAACTGCGCGAAGTATCCGTTCGCGTAGTGTAGAAAGGGTCGCGGTATCCGTATCCGTACTGGCCAAGGAGGTACCTCATGGCTTTACTTACTGCGTCCATGACATACTAAAGGTACCTGATGGGCTTATCTGGGTGCGCAGTAGAAAACCCTCGAAGGACGCGACGGAATGCAGTCCGAACGGTACCTTATTTGGATCACCACAAGATTTTATCCGTATCTGGTCCAATTGCAAGACAGAGCAATTATTCCTTACGGGGCAAGAGACTTGGAATAAAGACTGGAAATGTAGTAGACTGGCAGAAGCGCACAGAGGAACGGGAACGAAACCTTCTTCAACTCCAACACGACCTTTCATAGCATTCGCAAGAGACTGAGGCAATAGAGGTGAGGGATAGAGGGGATGTTCACGCCAGTGGGTAAATAAGCAGGGCAGCGGCGGCGCATGATTGACGGCAAACGGACTGGTGTGGGTTCCGTGTCTGCATTGGTTGAACGGCGCTGTCCGACGGAGCAGCTAAGACCCTGGAGATCGGAAAATACATACCAAATGATGCACCATGCCTACCTCAGCCATCGTCGATGAGGGACAAGTCATCACCACATGGAATTGTACGTACATGTGTGGCACCCTTGTTCGCTCTCCGGTGATTGCGCCACAGGGACGTGGAGTGTTGGAGAAGTGACGGGACGGGGGAAGCGAGGCACACGAAGAAGGATGTGAGGAGAAGAGGAGCAGGATTGATTGCGTAGTTGCATATCCGGACTTACAAAAGTCTACCGAAAACCATTTAGAGGGGCAGTTGACGAGGAGGACGACTACATGATAAGGTACGGAGCACCTCTCAAGCGGATATTAGGATCAGAGCCAAAATGGGGTAAGGAACCTCAAGGGCAGGAACTCTGGGGCACCATTCCGGATGTCGCAAAGCAGGGAAGAGGGGGACGCAGGACTACGTCTACAGCCACCCCCTTCTCACCCCAGCTGAATACTTCCTGATCAACCCATCTTGCTACGATCCTCAAGTATCTACTGTACTCAAAGGGCCCGAAGACGGGCGGTCGGGAGCAGGGGCTATCTAACAATGGCAGTTCGTCGAGGGGTCCAGCAAGCAACACAAGTTACAACACACCAACCCAACATCAATCAGGTGCAAGGAACCTTGGTGGGGCCGCACCAGCCCGCCAGCCCGCCCAGCCCGTTTTGAGCACAATGGGGCCCATTCGCTTTTTTAAACCCCGATTCACTGCCATTCTCGAGATCTCGAGGTTCACTGGTGAGAGCAGTCAGCCGTAGGACCCTTCAAACTCTGTGACGCCGCAAAGGAGAAGGACAAAAAAAAAACTTGCTTTGCCCAACCCGCGGACTCGTTCCTTGGAATGGCGAAGCATTAGCGCCGCCGCCTTTTGGGGCCACACGTCCCCGAAACCCCATCTCCTCCCATGGCAATCGCGATCTGTTTGTTATATGGCGATTGCCATGGCATTACACTTGCAGTTGCAGACTTTGCTGAACCGCTGAGACTGGCCACTTCATCACCCCAACATCAGAATGCCCCTAGGGTCCTCCTCGTCCCTGATTTCTCGCCCTGCGTCGTGTGCCCTCGCCTCGCGTAGCCCCGACGCTCTGGAGCTTCCCCTCCGCGACTCCCAAACTTGTCACGTCGATTCCGTAGGTGTCGTGTCTCGTCGTTGAAGCATGCACACAAGTTGGACTAGGAGTACCTTTGTAGCCGCGGCTCAAAGCTGCCTCACCGGTCGAGAGCTAAAACCAACTCTGTGCGGTACGTATCTGGTAGCCGTGCATCCGTTCCCCCTCTTCTTAAGTAAGCAGTCTTGCCTTCTTTGGTGCTGGTGCCCAGGTCTGCCCAACCTTACGGATACCTTAGTTCTGAATGGCAGGTGTGTATGGTCCACGTTCCATGAGTTCGTCAACCGGTGGTGCCATTCAGGGCATTACACCTCTGCCCACAGCACGGTACCTGGCAGTAACTACCTACCTACCTACCTGGGCCTACCTACGTATCCGTACGGGAAGCCACCGTTCCCGTTTTCTGGAACGTGCACCATACCGCTTGCGAGGGTTTCGCCTGCCGATTGTCCAGCCATACAGATGTCGACCGGAGAAAACTCCGCTACCTACTATGCCAACCTGCCAAAAACAGGACAGCTAATGGCCGACAGTGCTTTTTGACATTGCGCACAATCTGTTTCTGACAAACGGCCAAATATCAACCATCACTCAAAGGTTGGCCGATGTATTAGCATGCCTCGTTCAATTTGAACGATGGTGATTATCTCAGCGATCGTTCCACCTCTCATCTGTTACATTGCGGCAGGGTCACTTACTCGTGAACTTACAGATAAACATGGGCCCCGTCTGCAGCGAGCCACTATCACACAGTCGCGAAAACGACCAGACTACCAGACCTGGGTCTGGGCCCACGGGGACAGTGCTGTCACGTCACAGCAAAGAGGAGAAGGACTCGGGAAGCAGTGTCGAACTTCATTGAAGCAAAGATTGCCCTCTTTTCGCGTCTTCTGACATCACGAAGAATGATCAACGAACACCTCTAAGCGAGCAGATGGGTGGCGATGGAAACGTTGGAGACTCGAGGAGATTTAGCAACAATTCTCGAAGCATGGACGATTGCGAAAGCATGCATTTGTGAAAGAATGCCATACCATTGGCCTCGGATTCAAGTTTTCAGCAAGTCAAAATAGAAGATCGGCCCCCCTGCCATGCGGAGACAAACCTAGGCATTCGAGTAGCTTTGCAAGGTTGAAAAGTCTCTGACTTGAGATCTTCATAGGTTATCTGGTGAGTGATGTGTCTTCTTTCCGCCACTCGGGTGATCATGAAGACCGTCATCTATCCATACCTCGTGTGCTTGGCTTTTGAAGTTTCCAGACGGCGGAACGATGCATGACAGGCGACGGGAGAACCTTAAGGGGTGCCTCGACGGCATTAAGACGGTGGTGCCAAAAACAACCAGGTGGACGGGAATCATTTACTACCAAAGCAGTAAGGCGCTTCAGGTCACCCTGGTCTAGCACGTAGTGATCCTCACCCATCTGCCTAAACCTTGCTGGGCAGGCTGGCACGGCTGGGTAAGCAATTGCAAGCAAATGCGCTCGCCGCTGCTAATCCGTAAGGATAGAGCTGTTCGCTACACCGGAGCTGCGCGCCAATCATTACCGATAGACGGGATGCTTCGAGTTCCGCTTACCTCCCAAAATCGCATAGCTTGATTCCCTATCAGAGCCCAACCCCTACACTCCAGAACCTTTGCCGACTGACTCCAGTCTTCCGGTACTTTTCAAGTTGTCACGAGCCACAGAGAGAGATCTCGATCGTGGACGATTATTACCCTTCTCAGCTTGGCAAGTGGACAAGCATAAGCAAGCTAGAAGACCCTTCGACGCCACCTCACAACCCGTTTCCCACTTGATCGGGAGGCTCATCCGTTCCATTAGCCCTTGCTGATAGGCTGCCTTTGACCCTTACGCCCTTTCTTACTTTTCTTTTCCGGCTTCCTTTCCCCATAGCCTGTACCGTTTCTGGCACAACTCCCTTCCCCAAACCCGAGGTCAATCCCTGACTTACCAGAGCCCTCGAACCGCTTTTGTTGACTCCTCTTGAATCTTGTCGTCTCCCTTAACACTGGAAACCACGAGGACTTGCTTCGTGCTGTATACGGTGCTTAAATTCAAGGATATCGCTGCTACCGAACCTGCTTGTCTTTCGGAAATACGCTCCCGGAACTCATTTGAGCTCTTGCCGGCATCGTTAGTTGAGCCACACATCCGGGAGGGTTGGATTGGGACTTATTGCTCATAGCATGAGGCCAGGCCACTGAGCGAAACCCCAAGCTTCACATAATTGGCAACTAGCCTATGGCCCGGGCTCGTATGTAAACTGGAGATTGCAAAGGGACTTCTGGAAGGGCTCTCCGGCCGATTTGATGACGGTTCAATTATCCAAAGATGCGGCAGCCGTTACAGCATCCTTGCCCACAGCCCCAGCGCAACAACTCGCCCAGTTTCCCTTTCCAGCACGCGAGCCTTGACATTTGGAGTGGGTTCAGATTCAGCAATTCGTCCGGAAGCCTAGTACCTACTTTGCGCTACGTGCCTCTGCCAGATGACCGTCGTTGCTATGCACAACAATGCCCATGGTAGGTGTTCCTCTCTCTCTCGCCGAATCAATCGCATAGACGATGGTTGTCAAAGCATTGATAAAACGGCTTTAAACTTCTCTTCACAGTCAAAAAGTCGGGTTGCGGAAGGCTCGGGAAGCAACTGAGTTGACTTTTGGACACTTCAAAGCGCTTCCTCTTTCTGTCGGCAGCAGTAGGTACCACGGTCAATCTATGTTCTCTGTTGAAACGAGACTCAACTTCTCTCTCGCAACCTGAGGACGAACGTTGCGAAACAAAAAAAAAATCGCGTGTCGCGTGGAGTTGACTTGACGCCCGGTCGAGGGGGTTCAGCCTACACAGAGCTGGAGATACACTTTTCCCCTGTCGTTTTCTTTTGGTACCTTTGGACGGAATGCACGCCTACAAGTACCGCAATGAGCTTGACATAGCTATGACGACATTGGAAGGAGGAAATTTTCCCTCTCCCAAAGGACGTACCGAGAGGGCCCTGCAGAGGTTAAGGTACATGGAGACTGCGTCGGACGAGGGGGGAGGGGCGTGTGTGTTAACCGCCCCTTCTTTTCTGCCCTTGCTCGTACCTCACGCCAGCCAAGTTAGGGAAGCATCTTACTGCTGAAGCCGCGCGAAGTCAGGTACCCTCTCACCCCCAGGTAGGTTTTGGAGCATTGCCGTCCCAAGCTGTTGCTCTTCATTTACAAAGGCATGGAGATAAACCACCATAGCTGGATATTCGACGATAACGAGGGCCCGCTTGACCGGCCATACGCGCAAGGTCCCAAATGACACCTCACAAGAGCAACGCCGACGACCCTTTTTCTCCTGAATCCTTGAGCAGTTCTTCGCTGCCTCTAACAGGCTACCCGCCGTGTTGGGTCGGAGTGGGAGTCTCTTCATAACACGGATCCGCAGTGAGTGGGCAGTCTACTGTTTGTGGACAACGTCGACCATCGAGAGCCTTGCTTCGACGCCGCCCCGGGCCCAAGCCTTGGGGAGTCAGGGTACGGAGTACGGTTAGTTAAGCTCTAGTCGGGGCTTGAAAAGATGAGGCATCGTCTAGCAGCCTCAACGGGCCACTGACGTCACCCTCGCGGGCCCTCGGTTTGCGCAGGGTCTCAAATTCCTCTTTTTTTTCTTACTCTCCTCCTGGTCCGAGAAATACGGCCGAGTCAGGTGCGTCCACTTTTTTTTTTCTTCGAGATCGCGATCTTCCTCAAGATTCCTGTGCGACAAGGCCCATTTGGCTATGAGGAATCGTGTGCTGGACGGATTCGGGAGCACACAACGACTCATGCTCACCCAGTGGTCAGCTGGGTTGACAGACATGTTGCCGCCAAAAGAGCAAACATTGGAAAGGACCCTGAAAATAGTGCTGATTTCAGGAGAGCCTATCTGAATTGTGCTGGAAAAGGATGCGTCGCCTTCAACTCCAATATGAGAAGCTCCACCAGAGGGCAGTCATCTTGACCACCTGGACATTTTATGCTGGCTCCATGGCCATGTGAGCAATAGCGATGTCAAGACGGCTCAGTCTGTGAAGTTGCGTGCAGTCTCAAACGAAGAGCATTGGCGGAAAGAGAAGCACACGAGACCTCCCGGTGATGGTTTGACGCGCCGGAACTTCATCTCCTCAGACTACGGTCAAGCTCAGCTCGCAAGTTGATCGATCGTTGTTTAAAAGACGATATAGGGTTTCTTGCCGGCTTAGACAGGTGGAGATGTTGCCAAAAGGAGGAAATGACTGAATGCAAGTCCTGGTCCCTTGTCACCAAGCGAGGCCCGAAAGCAAGGAAGTTGGCACGGCAGGGCAAATGGCATGCGCAATCCCGATCGAAATCGACAGCACAACGGGCCCAGAACAGGATGGAACGACCAAGGAAAAGCCAGCAAGCCAGGCACACACGGTCACCAGCAGGCATATGGCCGGCCCAGGAACCGTCTTCTGTTGTCGGTCTGCGTCGCATGTGCGGCTAGAGCCTAGAGGTAGGAGGGGGGAGAGACCGATCGATTGGGATCGGGGCTGGTGTTGAAAAAAATAAAAATAATAATAAAATACAGGACTCCTTCAAGTCATTCAATGGGTATAAGAATGGGGATAAGCGACCAGGGGTGTACGATACATAGCAAATGAGAGAGGGGGCCTTGGAGTGCAAGAGAGAGAGAAAAAATATGTGTAAAAGGCGGAAAACTTGGCTGCGCATCACCCACTCAGACCATGTCACTCGTTCGTGAACTGTCGGTCACGGAAGCAGGACACTCTTGGTCAATTTCATCAGGAAGCCGAGAAATGCAAGGTAGTTCGGCTCGAACGTCTATGAAGGTAAAAATGGCATGGACATCCAATAATGCTGTTATCACGACAGCCCCTACCAATACAGAGAGGTACGGGAAGTTGAGAGTTTAGAGATTACCATCGTGCGTCGAGTCCCCTCTCCCTCTCCCTCTTCCGCGAGAGCTTTTTTTTTTTTTTTTTTTTTGAGAAATAGACAATAAGCCCCGGAAGAGGCCCCAGAGTGTGAGAGCGAAAAAAGAGAAAGAGAGGGGGAAGGAGGAGAGTCCACACATACCCCACCCCGGGGTGCGTAGCCGCCCGCCGCGAAGACTCGGGGAGCTACCCTGCAGAGAGAATTGGAGCTGGAACCACTGAGCAAGGGGTGCTCGTAATAACGAAGAGTGAGAGGTACCTATCCTGGAGTGTGAGAGAGACAGAGAAAGAGAGAGATGTGGCCCTGATGAGGGGACTTGGGGGTTGCCAAGGGGGGGTGGCGTGAAGGGGGTGTCGCACACGGTGGCTACCTTACGACCGGACCTTCCACGCTGTGGCTCCGGCCTTTCCTTGCCAGGGTACGTACTCTCTCTTCGCACTTATTCTCGACCCCTGCCCGAATCAGGTAGGCTGTCAGGTACGTACAGGTGCGCCACTGCCTGCTGTCGTTGTCGCTGCTGGGGGGGAAAGACACATACTGACACCCTGACTCTAGTCTCCAGGCACATTGAGGTAAACCTTGGAAAGCTCACCCAAGACCTGCCTACCTACCTCACTGAGGTGAGGTACCTCTTCTACTGAGGTGCGTGAAGGTACCTCATCTCACTGCAGAGAGGTCTGGTACCTCAACCCACGTACCTTTTGTAGCATCCCAGACAGCAACCACAAGTTGCCAAAGGTGCGCAATTCTCTTTCCCATGCCCCATGCTCCTCTACCCTATACCCAATTCTTTTCCCCCTCTCCAAACACTCCCATACACTCCTCCACCCCATTCAGCTTTCTGCACACGCCTTCCCTTTCCCTCCATCCATGCCGACCGGCCCAGGTCCCCTCGTTGAGATACTTTGCTTCGGCCCACCCCCCTCTGCCCGCTGACCTCCCGAGCTTTCTACCTCCTCTCTGCCTCGATCCGCATCTCTCTCCTGGCTGGTATAATACTTCACTTGCGCCTCACCCTCCTGCGGCTTGTTTAGCTGCACCACTACCTCTTACTCTCCCTTCACCAATTGTCCAGCCTCACCTCACATCAACTTTCCGGATCCTTTCCAAATACTACTTCATACAGGCCGACCATCCCAGGCACGACTACATCGTCAACAACCTCTCTACAGTAATCACTAGTGGCAAGCAGTAGGACCTCGTCGCCAAATTCAACACAGACTTGATACCTCTTTTGTTCGATCAAAGAGTACACAAAGGAACAATATTCCACCTCGACTCAACCACAGCTTTTCAACCCGGATATATGTCCAATCTCTCCAAAATGCATGCCCGAGATGCTACCGGCCGTCAGGTCTCTCTCTTGAACGACGAGCCTATCGCCCAGCCCGCCCACCAAAGAATGGACTTCCGCACAGTTAACCAGGTCATCTCACAACCCTTCCACCCGGCACCACGAAGCAATTCTTCCTCACCTCACACTCCCGAGCTCCTCCGCTCCGACTCTTACGACTCCAACGCGAGCAACGATCCTCTTTCGCCCATGACTCCCACCTCGTATGACCCTTCGAGAGTTGGCGCATTCCCTGGCCAACCCATGTACGACGACTACGACATGCCCGCAAAGCGCCCTGCGTATGCGAACAACAGCCGCGCAGCTTCGTATGAGGAGGACAGCTCAGCAACATCACCCTTGCCGGAACGCCCGGGCAAGAGATACCCTTGCCGCTACCGCGACAGCCACGGTTGCGAGAAGACCTTCACCACTTCGGGTCATGCCTCTCGTCACTCCAAGATCCACACTGCCGAGAAGGCTGTTCAATGCACTTTCCACGGCTGCCAGAAGAAGTTCACCAGAGCCGACAACATGAAGCAGCACCTTGAGACCCATTACAAGGACAAGTCTCGCTCCTCAACCTCCGCGAAGGCTTCACGTCCCTCAATGGGCGGTCTGTCAGCATCCGGCCGCAGGTCCTCTTCATCATCCGTTAGGGCCGCTGCCGCCAGCAACCGTGCTTCCCGCGATCAGCCCATGTGGGAGGGCGAGTCTCCTTACGGATATCCTCCCGGCCAAGCTCCTCTCCCATCCCCCGCTGCCAGCGGCGCATGGGATCTTCGCGGCCTGCACATGCCGCTTGTGAGCCGCCCCAGCGCTGCCAGAACACCCAGCAGCGGCCTGGACGCGCTGGCTATGGCTGTCGCTTGCCAAGAAGGCGCATAGAGCTTTGTTGGGATCAGAACGATTGCATGTCTCTTCTCTCTCTCCCTCTTGGGCAGTTTCAACACTTATACCCGGTGGACTCTTGCAGCGTGTCCTATATAATACCCGATCATTCTCTATTTCTTTCGGCCGCTCCTCACGGCCAACGGTGTGGAGAACGTCTCAGGGTGGCTCTCGATTGTGACGGGTGATTTACCCTTCGCATTGAGGAGTCTCTCCTCTCTCCCACATTTCCTTCTTTTCTTAAGTTGATTTTATGTTGTCATTTGGAGCAATAGAGGGTCGCAAAGCATACGAATGGCGTACCTGCACATACACGGAAGGGAAACAAGGCAACAAAAATGGCGCGGCGTTATATATCACGTTTTGTTTTGAACCGCGAAGGTTTTCAACCCGGGGGTGGATTTCTTCTCTACACGGCGTTGGTTTCTTCACGGTTTCGTACACATACCCGAATCCTCGATTCAATCAGTACCGAGGGGCAGACGCATCACTGCGATTGTTTGTTTTAAGATGAGGAAAAAGGCTATTCCTGGTTAGGAGGGGATACATATACACGAGGTTTCCCAGACAGGCTCTCTTTTTGGAAGAAAACTGGGATGATGAGGATGCTGGAAAGTTGGAGAGTGAGTTTCCATGGATGGGCGCGCGGATTCTAGATACCAAGTGCGCCCAAGACGGGGTGGACGATCTTTCTCATAGACCACTTACACACATGAGTGGATGGGAAGTTGGGAGTCCGTCCCAATGTCGATATCACTCCCATTGCCTGCCGTCTTGGTATATAGCCGGCGGCGAGGTAAAGACGAAAAAAAAAGATCAAATACAAACACACGTTGAACAAGCATACTCACTTCTGTCCATTTCATTCGCCGTCTTTACGTGAGTATAGTCACCAAAGTGGCTGGCTAACCCAACCATCATGTTCTTCGAAACATCACGAGAGAAGTTCCCAAGAAGGCATTCTTGTCTCACCATCGTGTCTCTGTGCCACGCAGCTGGTAAACGAGAAGGCAAAGAAAGACAAAAAAAAAAAACATCAAAATTCCCACGATGCATTCCAACCAACTGCCTAGCTGTTTGAGCCAACACGGCATGGGCAAGACATACCAGACAGAATCCGCGCGGCCCCCAAGCAAAATTCCACCCCCATGCTCCCACGCTGATCAGCCTTTGTGATCCCGATCAGACGGTTGAAGACAAATTCCAGAGCAGTTGTCAAGTCTTATGTGTGTGTGTGTGTGTGTGTGTCTCTCGTTCTCCATCCCAAGTCCGGCATAGGAGAGATGCCTATCTCAACTGAGTACAGGGATGTTTGTCTGGGAAGATGGGGGGAGAGGGGGTGGTGGTTGGGGAGAAATTCTCCAGCATTTGCATGTATGTGTTTTGAACTTCGACGTTCCTAGGTGTTCGGGGGCTGCCATGCCACGCCGCATTGCCCATCCCGTCGGATCCCAAGCAAGCAGCAGCAGCAACGATTTCAAGATCTCGATCTACTGTTTTTTTCTTCCTTCTTACCTTTCTGTCCTTGTTTCTCCTCGCGATTTTTCTTGGTCCGTTGAAACATGGACAAGAACCACCCCAGCAACTAACTCTACTTGACCTCCTCGGCCCGAACATGGCATCCAGTGCGTACGGATATGTCTCTATTTTCTTCCTCCTCTACCACCTCTTTACTTTTCCCCCTTCCGCTTTCTGTCTTCTACACACCCCGGAGACAAGGCCCCGTCTACCTCGAAGCCTGCCTCTCCCGTTGGAATGGAACGAGGCGTGAATGGCAACCCGGATCGGTCCACTTGTTGTTGTCTGTGACATTGTGGGCGTTGTCAAACAAATCGACGCAGGCCACTTACCCGCTCGCCGCTGGAATGTAAGTTGGAACATCCCACGCTCGTTGGTCGGTATACGCTAGATCGCAGCGCAAACGGTTTCCTTCCCACGAGGTCTGCGGGGGCGTGCGGTCAGGCTAGGGCGTATGAGCACATGGGCGTCTTTTGCTCTGGCTGACGAACTGTTTAAGTGGCCTCGAGGGCGGCTCAATTCGGTGGATGGTTTCGTCTTTCCATTAAGTCTATCTTGTAGCCCTTTGACCCCCGCCTCCGGTGTTGTTACCTCTAATTATCCGTCTGTCTCAACCCAGAACTGTTGCGCCAGCCCCATACGCCAGTGGCTTTCATCATCGAAGCAAACCTGTGCAACATCAACAGCTCATCGCGATCGTTGAGAAACCGACGGTTGCCCCTTGACACGAGCTGAAGACTACTGCTGTTTCCAGAGTCCCTCCTTCTCGGTGCAGAGTCTTGCCATCTCATACTGCTCATCCGTTTGGCAGACCAGTGTACGGCACTTGGCTCTGTTCTTACCGACCTCCTGCACCGTATCGACAATCTTCTTGCTGTTGAGCTCGTCGTCGACGGTGAAGCCAAGGCAGGTACACTGTTCCACGACGCGTTTCCGTAGCTTATCGCTCTTCTCGCCGATGCCACCGGCAAAGACCAATGCATCCACATCACCATGAAGGGTGACAAAGTAGGAGCCGATGAAGGCGCATATCCTGTCAACAAAAATGTCGAACGCGAGTCTATGCGTAGGCTCATCCGAAGAAGCAATGACACCAAAGTTGGTCGTTCCTGTCAGGGCCTTCCATCCGCTTTGTTTGTTGAGAATTTCTTCAGCCTCGGTAAGATGCAACTTTGACGTTGAATTAGGGGAGAGCTTTCCGACGTCACTCGCGTAGTGAAAGACGAGACTGTGCGCACACTCAAGTTAGCTGGCTGCCAAACCCGCGCAACGGACGTTGGCTATGATTTACCTCGGATCTACATTCCCGCTTCTCGTGGCCCCGGGCAAGCCGGCAACGGGCGTCAATCCCATGCTTGTATCCCAACTCTGGCCGTTTCGGATGGCGCAAGCGCTTGCACCACTCCCCAGATGAAGAGCGATGATGTTCAAGTCTTTGGTCTCCTTACCGAGGAACTCGGCGACGGACCGAGTGATAAAGGAGTAGCTGACGCCATGAAATCCGAACTTTCTCAGGTGATTCTTTTTGGCTATTTCTTGGTTGATGGGGTATGTGCGGACGTGCTCGGGGATGGTGGAGTGGAACTGTGTGTCAAAGCATGCAACGTTGACAGCGTCGGGCAGCTGCTCCACGCAAGAGTTTACGATATCAAGGGCCGGGCCGTTATGCAGCGGGGCAAGGTCGCTGAGCTCCTCTAGGTGGTGATATGTGTCCTGGGTGATAACTTGGGAGCACGGATAGTCGCCTCCATGCACGATGCGGTGACATGTCAAGGCAATATCGGCCTTTTGCTTGATCTCGGGCAATTCTGCGTCATCAATCAGGGTCTTTAGAAGCACCTGGAAAGCATCATCTTGTGTAGACACCTTATCCTCCAGATCCTCGTTCTTCTTGACTTCAACACCGCCGCGGGTGTAAGAGACCTGAGCCGGTGGAGCCGTCAGACCACTGATAGATGTCTCTGCAATCTGGTGGGGTGACTGCTTTGGCTCGGCCGAGTAGACCGAGATTTTGACAGAGCTTGACCCCGCGTTGATGGCAAGGATAACCTTCATCGTGGGTAGGGTCTGAATATGCAGTGGTGGTCTGCAGTAAGAACGGAGACTCGGTCTTGAATGCCTTTTAAAACCGAGAATCGGCAGCAGGATGTGGTCGATCGGCGTGTTATGCGACCCGCAGTTGGGTCTGTTGGTTCGGTCGATGAAAATGGAATCGACCACCTGATGGTGGTGTCTCGTATTAGACAATTGAGAATCAATGTGTTGAAGTTACGACGCGGTTGGACGAGGCAGGTCAAGATATGACGGGCTGAAATGGGCGAGATTGTATCCTTTTAAGAAGGGCATCATCAGTAGACGTCGGCGGTGGAATGGTCAAGAGCCGAAGTGGGTGGTGTTGCCCTGGGCACCATGATCTGAGGTTCCTCTCGCTGCAAATGCCCGCCTTGGCCGGGTGTGGTGACGTTCCATGGTGCTATTGGACTTCTGGGGGCGGGGGTTTGCTGGGAGCTGGCAGCTACGGAACCCCGCGCCGTGCCTTGTCACCCCACCAGATAGTGCAGAAGTGGAGGCTCTGTGGGGCCTGTCAAACCTGTCAACGCCCGGACCCGGAAACCCAAAGCGGCGGCTTCTAGCCATGCAAATAACACACCACTTTTTGGAGTTGCCTGATGCAATACACCAAACCCAGTTGCGAGCTATTGCGTGGAACCATAACCCACCATCGCTCACTCCGTTGTCATGTCGATATTCCGCGAGCTGATTGTCAATCAGGATTCGTTCCGTCAGGATTCTGTGCAGCGTTGCACCACATAGGTATCTTCCCTCCTTGTGGGTGACTGAAGTTGCAGGATAATCCAGGTCAAACGCCAAGAGACGAGTCAGTCAATGGCAGCCCGACTCCTCTTATCTAATCGTTGTTCTGTGGCCTGAAGTGTGTGCTGCTCAGGTTTGTCGTCGATCGAGGAGCCGTTCAAGCAGCCGAGTCAGACTCATAAGGATCTGGGGGTTCCACCACTGGCTCTAAGCCTCGTGAGATATCGGGGGATGGCAGTTCAGACATTTCTCCAGGAAGCATTTCTGGCGATGGCAGCTCAACGTGGTGGGCAGGAAATGGTATGCCGTGAAACTCGCTGTCGGAGCTGTGCGCTACGACCCAACTCTCCAAGAACCGAAGGTAATCTATCCCGTGTAAGTCAAATGTCCATTTCCCACTTCAAGGTGGGGTAGCAAGGGTATAATAATTTGGCAACGAGACGCTCAATGCCCGCTAAGAAGTGATTCGCCATACCTTCACGTTTACTGAACTGTACGCCTATATAGCGAATATTCAGTGTGCCCGACGGTGCTCCGTCAGAAGTCGATGGGCCCCCTTGAGAACCAGAACGCACGCGGGGACGCATTCGTTGCGCTAGGTTGAAGCGCGAGCGGGAACTGCTGTTATCGGGAGCGCTGCTGCGTCGACTTCCGCGAACTGTCAAGCGGACTTGGCGGTGTCGATCGTCGCGGTTACGCAGTTCGCCCTCAAAATTGTGGATTTCGTATTCTCGATACTGCCGGCCACTCGCACGATTTGCAAGAACGGTCAGAGAGTGGTAAGTCGAGTATCGGTCCCTCCAAAGCTTTAGCCTCTGTACCAATCCCATGCCCCTAATATTGCCAAAGCCGTCCGTTCTTCCATGCTGATCGGACCAGACGACGTCAACATCGTAGTAGTCAACCAAGTCTTTCCGACGAATATCTCCTTGGAAGCGTATAGAGCTCTCCACGGTGGTGAACTCGTACTTGACCTCGGTAAGGTGGTCATGAACCACCACACCTTCGCCGGTAGTGTATCTGACTCTGTGTGGCTCGCGAAAGCTGACAAAAAGCTCGAGTTCGCAAGGGTCCGTGTATGGACGATGACGGGCGTGCAAGGTATGAGGAAAGATGTCGGCTGGCACGTCGGACGGAACTGGACTATGGTCAGAATGATGGCCCCTGGCTCGGATGATGGATGCGGGGGATGAGGTACGGAAGTGTTCAAGAAGCTCGCTCTGGTAGCTGCACTGCCATAGTACGCGACGCTGCTCGGAGCCGACAACCTCCCAAGGGCCAAGATAAACCGTGCGCTCGTTGGGGGTATTCTCAAAGAGAGTTCTGAAGATCAACAAGAGTCAGAAAGGGGCAAAGACTACTTTCGAGGTGTATGGGTACGGAGATTTGGAGAGAGGGGCTTCGAATCGAGTAGTGGAAAAATGGTACATTGTTGCTTGATAGCCTGGAGGTCCAAGATCCAGAGGATGCAGAGAGGCGTGCGGTGCTGAGGCCTCGGAGGTGAGAGCCGA